AAACACTTTAGAGGTATTTAGTCCAAACCGGTCGTCGGTGAGGGAAGGGACTTACGTAAGTGCCAGACACAAAAACTTTCAAGAGCACAAGCTCTTTCGATCTTTCGCCTTCGCTTGTTTTGCTTTCTGATCCTTTACAACGAAAAGAAAATTAGTATTCACGGATACAAACTCAAAATATGTATTTATACAAAAACAGATTTTTCAGTTGCCTAAACGTGAGACCTTTGGACTTGATCCACTTCACTTTCCAGGAAATTGTATTCACGTCTAATGCCGCAGCACATGTTTTGGCCATCCATTTTGAGTATTGAAGAATATACACTAGGAAATGTCGAACTCTATCGCCGATGAAATATTTGACACATTTTTAATTGTATCAGGTATGCATTTGCTGAGTTTAGAAGACAAAACCTTTTGTATCTCTGTATTGCTGGGCGTCCACGCTGACGAAGATTCTTGTTTTTTCCGTCTTGACAAAACTTTTTCTTTGTTTAATCTTTTTACTTCAACAGGTGTGGTGTTTGTCTTTAAACATGTAAATGCTTCTTTTATTTCCTGCGTTAAAAGTATTTGGTTCTAAAACCTGATTTACTAATGTCCTTCAAGTGTTTATGTAAGCTTTGGTGGTCACGGTCACCAACTAGATCATTAATTTTCACTTGAAACGTTTCAGCTCGTTTATTGCGTAAAAGAAAACATTGTTAATGCGAGCAGTCCCGTCCCTTACAACAACATATCTGTTTTTAAATCAACTAAATTTATGCAGTGCAGGAGTCAAATTTCCGTTTTCACGCGGTCTGATTAAAAAAAACAACCACCGTCTGATGAAAAAAAACAACCGCCTCGCCAAAAGACCTTTCTTAACACCTCGATCAGAACTAAACAAAAGCCCGCTGTGACAAAACGTGGATTTCTTCACGAGTTTAAGTGATTTGAGATTTCAAATCGAGATATGGAAGTTGTATCTCGCAAGGCTTTTAACGATTTCCTACATGTACATTTATTACATGCGGAGAAGCTCCCCTCGTTGTTGTTCCGGTTCAATTGGTGCCGGCTGAATCATTACGTCAAAATACGTCACTGAATGCCTTGCCCGCGCGAGAGCTCTATAAAAGCAAAGATGATAAGCAGTGTGTCCAGTGCCTTTTCCGTTCACCGCAGAAACATGTGTGAAACGAGTTTAGAACCGAGAGAAAAGCTGGACAACGAGGTTTGTGAAACTTTGGACGCTGCGATGATGGTAGTTGCAGACTTTGCTTCTACGCTCGCAAAAGGTAATTATCACTTAAGAAGCGTTTAACTCTCTCAATTTCTTTTCTATCAATCGTCAGGCGTGATGTTTGCTGATATGTATGATGTTCTAGAAATTATATGAAATACCGAGAAGAAGGGTCACACACTTAGAAACAGAATCATGCATAATGAACGACCGAGAAAATTCTTAAGTTTACCTTTTCTTGTAATTCTTAAGTTGTTTTGTCCTTCTTCACCGCAAACCAACTAATAACATCGATTTGCTTCTGAATGTGAAGGAATCTCAAAATTGAGGGATTTCCAGTCGCAGAAATAGAATTAATTAGTAGAAATTTTATCAGCCTTTGAACATATTTAAATCACGAGTTTCCTTCCTCGAAATCGCCGTTTTCCTGATTCTCTCGAAAACCTTCTGAACCGACTAGAGCGACTAGAATAGGTAATTGTGGGCGGGTTAGGGCCGCCGGGCAAAAGAGCGTTTTGAACCATGGCTGGTATTTAAAACGTGCTTCTTAAACCTGTGTGAGAATTGCAGACTGAAAAGAGGAATACGATATTGACCATCTAGAGGATTGTCAACAATTGAAGAGGCCGTAACTAAACTGAATTTCAATAACTGTCGTGTGAAAAGCCACAACAAGACCTCCTCCCACGTGTGTAGTTGCTGTCTAAAGAATGAAACGGATATAGCACGGCTGACACAATGCCTAAAATAATACTATGAGTTACACACCTTAGCTGACGTCACCAGAGGAAAATTTTCTACAGCGGTGAAAATGCAATCTACGGCTGTTTAAACGAAATGAAAACAATATTTGATGATTTTTCACTCCAAAGTTTAACATATCGAGAAATGAATTAGAGTGTATAATTTGATTCCCCACCCTGAGTGATTAGTTCAATTGTGTTTTTCTTTTCACAATGGGTGGTTGTTTGTCAAGGCGTTGACATAAACAATGCGTCAATCAAATCGGGTGTAGGGATTATTTCCTGGGGCCTAGTCCTCTTGGATGTGACCTCTCTTTTGATATCAAGCTGTTCGGTAAAATTTCCCTCGAGGCAGAAATGAGCAGTTCTGTTCGGTGGCCTCAGTTATATTGCGCTTTCGTACCATATCTGTGCCGTGGTCGCTGATATTCCTCATGGCCATGGCACTCTCAGATGGCGTTCAGACCAATGGCGAAAACAGGCGAAAAATGCTGCGACGATTCTTGGTTCGCAAGAATAAAAGGGACACCATCAAAGGTACAAACGAGTTAAGATAAAATGATTTGACCCGAGGTGTGAAGGAATTCAAATTTGCCTTGATTACATTTTCAATTATGTTGTGGTTTAAAGCTGACTCATTGCATTTGATGCCGATATTGTTTCAATTTCTGACTCGCGGATTTCGATTTAAAAAATTTCGTTTTCCTAAGGAACGACTATCTGTGGAATAGAAAACCGTTGAGTTAAGCTCAGCTGTACTTGCTTATTTAAATCTCTTTCACTGCTCGAATGCCTTGGTTTTTCTATCAATAAGTGTAGCGAAGAAAATGTGTCATAGAACGCCGAAATTATTTTTATACAGGAGAATTGGAAGATGATTGCTTATAGTTGGTACTCAGTTAGTGGCCAGTCATCTTAGAGTTCATCAAAATCATGGCATGAGTAACATTCCATTTCAATCACGAATTGTGTGACATTGGGTTTTTTTCATCTGATGATACAATAGCAGTAGCCTTAAGTGCTGGCACAAAGTCGTTCAAACCTAATTCAGCGTAAAGAAATAAGGATTAAACAAATCCCTCCCAATTTTTGGAGGCGATAGCATTGTAAATCGGGGCCGGACAAAGTAATGCACAGAGGGAATATAAGCGACAAAACCACATCCATTCATTATGTTCAGACTTTGTGGCGGTAGAAGCAAAACAAATACTTGATTTGAATAAAATCTGAATAGTAGTTCTCACGTGACAAGAGATAGATCTGTTTAAGGAATCCACCGTTCCGTTAAGTAAATCTTGTTAAATTCGACCAAACCTTTACCGGCTGGGACATTGGGGATGTTTTGGTATTTCACGTCACATTCTTACAGGATTGCAGCGAAGATTGTTTGAACAGAATGTTGTCCATTTCGCGCGCCAGTCATGCGTGAAATTACGAGTAAGTAAAAAATTCGCTCGTAAATCAATCTCTCACTGTAAAATCCGACCGCTATTAGAATGTGTAGTTCTACTCAACTTAACAATCAAATAAGTATCTCAGTCGGTCACCGGTGACAAAGGCAGGTCTGGTTCCATTGTGTGCTTTAAGTGTCGATCGCTTTAGCTATATTGTTTTATGCTGTATTAATTGTTTTCGAGGACATGTAGGTTTCAAGATCAAGATTTGCAGTGTACATATTTTACTTTACATATTTCCTCATTAATCGACGACAAGATGTGGTGTTTGTTTGCATGTCAAAGGTCTTTGAAGGTGTGTTCCTGCAAGGCACGTTTACTGCAAGGGCGGTAAAAAGAACGATCTGCAAGAGAGATGGCCATGTGGACGAAGAAAATTACAGTGAAGCAAATTGAATTCTTTATTGACACAAGCTAGTTGGTCACTCCGCTATCTTCTCTTTCATCGAAATAAATGATTAAAAAAAACAAGCCACCTATTTAAGTTTTCGATCACAATGAAGTGTGGAAATCAGCCAGAGATTTGTGTGACACACCAGATGGAAAGCCATGCTCGAAGTACTCTCCTTTGACTCCTGGCATAATAAAACCCGCATGTTAGAGCTTAAAATGCCTTATGCCACGGCTGAATGACGTATCTTACTTTCTAACGAAAAAGATGACGTTAACTTTGACAGATTTGGCTGAATGTTGATTTTAAGCTTGTATGTTACACTAGCCAAAACGTAACGACAGAAGTGTTGTTAGCTAGCTTGTAATTTTGCTGAACTATACATGTATTTCTGCAATACCGGAAGCCACCTAGTGCGAACTCTAACCGAGCAATAATGTTTGTATTCTTTCAATATCTTGTCTTCCCTAAATAATATCTTTATCGCAATTTCAACAAAAGGGATTTATCTAGCATGCCTTAATTTTTCAAGTTCCTTTAATTCTTTAAAAAGGTAAAAGATTCACTACTTTCCCTAAGAATTTTTTTTCTGATTCATACCTCATAAATAATTAACATTGAATGACTGAAGGCCTTGTCGAAGGTTTTCCTTCATGTTAAAAATAGTTTAGCCTTCTGGTGTAGTTTAAAGTGTTGATAATGTAAACAATTTTTAGCTGTGTTTATAAACATTTCTCCTGTTTCCATACTTGTGTGTCAGTGTGCTCCTACTAACAAAGATCACTAAAAATATTCATCCTGTGATTAATGTACCCAGCTGTATATATTATCATCTGGTCTAATGAAATGGCAGTAACAATTATTTTCCACAAAACAATTTTTGGACTTTTTTTAGTGGCTGTTACAATCACTGCAGGAAAAACATATTTGATGCTTCATTGTACAATGAAAATTTGATGCTCTCAGCAATAAAACATTGCCAAATGTAAACAGGTGTTACCCTTGACAGAAAAATGTTCTTGTGACTAATACCTTGGCTTTACTAGAAATATTGCAAAGTGTAATAATTTTTTTTAGATGGAAACTTATTTAGGAGTTTGATAATACCCTTTCCTTCCTTACAGTCCAAATTACTACAAGTTGTGATGTATATTGTGCTTGTTTTTGAAACTAATTCTTTGCATTCTCAGAACTAGAGGCCCTTGAGGCATGTTACTGGCTAAAAGCAGCTGGATTTCCACAATATGCACAGGCTTATGAAGGTACAAATACATTTTAATTCTAGTTGACATTTTCAACAACATGAGTTACCATCTTTGGTTAAGAAGCAGCAAACTAACCCCTTTCAATTGCATAGCCAAACATGACGAGCTTGAGGTTTAAGTGTAGACAAGGAGCTACAGAAACTTAAAATATTCTCTCCTGTGATTGTGCATGTTATGTTAAATTTGCCGGCATCTTCTCCCTTAGTATACAGCAAAACAGTTTTGATGAGTTGATCCTCCTCAAGAAGAAAGGAAACCAAAGGAAAGAAGTTGAATGAGATTAATTTCAAACTAATTTAGACTTTGACTCACTTAATTCCTAATGATCACTACCCAACTGGTTTTCTTGAAGATGTCTGTTAATGTCCCACTATCTATTTCCTTATTGTATGGATCTGGCCCCAGTTGTTCCAAGGTTGGATAATGCTATCCACTAGATAAATTGCTATTGTGTGGATAGTGCAGTACATTTCCTTCACAGTTATTCGCTGGATAGCGATTTATCTGTTGGATAGCATCATCCACTCTTTGAACAACTGGGTCCTGAGTGACATGTTTGTTGGACCTACTTTTCCATTATCTAAATCGTCTTCAACAGCACCTTATCCTAAGTACATGGCACACCTGTTGAAATTCAATACCAATGTAGGTCATAAGTCTATCTTTGCAAATTTAGATGGAAAGTTTCCCATTGACACAGCATCTGTCATTAAAGAACATCACTTCCTGGATCAAGATTCTATTCAATCTTTGTACAGGTAATGATTTTAAAACTTATCAACACTTGGTAATCAAGAGGGCATGATTACTTGATTCTTATTGAGCCTTTTGCTGTTTGCAGCAACAATTTATTGATTGCAATTTAACTGAATGAAGCCATGCTACGTTAACTGTATTTTGAGAATAAAATGTTCTTTGAATCTATCGGTCAGTTACGTTTGTTTTGACATTTGTGGCAGCATTGAAAGGGCTTCACCACAGGAACATCATGCACGATTGCAATTCCCCAAAAAAATTTAACCCTTTATGTGATAAAAAAAGTACTTGTAAGTGCCCTCAGGCAATTAAGGATTAATTTCATGCGTATTTTTCAAGTTTTCCCAAAATTGCCCTTGTCCCTTTGAGTGCACTTTGGGTTTTATTTAGAAGAACACAACCTAATCTAGTAATATTGTCTATTTAACTCATCAGGCGTCTTCAAACACTCAATCGATGTGCAAAAATGAACCTCCACATCAAGGTACTGAAAATAGCTACTCATGTCTTTCCTGCTCTGCTGCATTTTTTTTAAGCCCTGAAAGCAGAGGTGACTGCAAATTAATTTTGTCTTAACAGAATGATGGAGGTTACGATTCTGATGAAGAAGACTTGATTGCATTAAGTTCACGCTGGAAACTACAAAATAAGAATCGACGGTGGTCAAGTCGAAGAAATGGTTCCCCTTCACTCAGCAAGGGAAAGGGTCCAGCTGGCTTAAGTAGCTCACATAATGGAATAAACTCATCTTTGAACAGTGTATCAAACACAAGGCAAAGGTCATTTCACAAGAAAGGCAAACTTGCTCCTGAGCATTTGTCACCCATAACACACTTGGATTTATGTATAGCACAAGGAAGGAAAAGTGTATATGACAATCTGTCTTCAACATTAAGTGCCAGTACACCATCAATATCAAATGTTGGTAAAGACCTCAACAGGAATGATCAACTAAGAAACTCAGGCAGAACTCAAAAAAGAATCCTTACTAGTAGTGATTTGGGACTTGAATCTTACAGTGCATCATCAAATGAGGACCTTTCAGACTTTGAACGTGATGATGAAATTGACGACTTGCCTGGGGATTTGACAATGTTAAAATCAATACGAAATTCAGAGAGAAAATGTAACAATGATGTGGCTCCATCGTCAACAGCAACAAGGCCTAAAGTACGATGGCATAGCTTTGAAAAGACTTCAAGACCTGAAATACGTGTCATGTAAGTGTTCCTAATACATAACTTCATGGAACATAATAAAAGAAGAATTTATAAATGTAATATTGGCTGGTTTCAGGTGTAACTAGTGCCTGAAATGTTTCTCTTTTAATGAGAAAAATAGTTTGTCAAATTGTCTTAAAGTCTCTTTTAATTACTGCATTGACCTGTGGAGATCATGTCTTTCTCTGTTAATGATCTCCACATAACTGAGTCTGAGCCTAGGAAACAGTAGTTCTTTTGGCTAGCAATATTTACCGGCCATAAACGTTGGTCATAGACAGGAGGGAAGGGATGGCACAGTGCCATCACATGTGGGTAGAGATTCTAGTTTGTACTTTTCCTTGCTTCAAGGGATTTTCTTTGAGTCCTCCAGACAGCAGGAAAGAAGAGCCACTTCCTGAAGTTTCCATTGCTAAATTTCCATTATTATTATTACCATGACATAAAAGATATGAAAGTTGTCAAGACTGTTAGGTAGCTTCATCACTTCTATTGTTTGTCTTGGTAATGACTTATTTCATTATTTTTGCCTTTATTATCACAAATGTAGGTCTCCAAAGATCTGTGACCTTACAGCAGGACAGCTAGCCGTTCTTAGAAAATACTCACTTTTGAAACTAACAGCACTAATGGAAAGACATACTCACTCACACAGAGGAATGTGGAATTGGTAAGGAAGCTTTTTAGACAAGTTGAATGGAAAAATGCTACTGGCATCCTTCAATCCTCATAAATTTCATTGGACATCTACTTGATGGAGAGAGATAATTTGTTTATTTTTTGGTGATTTTTCTCCTCTTTCAGGTCATTTCCCCATTTCTTAAAGAAGCTCAAGTCACCAGATTATAGAGGTACTTGTCATATAGTGTTTTACCCAGAATACATATCCAATTCAAATTGCTAACAGACCATCCTAAATTACCCATTGGGTAATTTACTGCTGCTGAAAGTTTTGTATTTCATAGTATGTGAGACAACAGTTAAATAACTGGTGATGTATTACATGCGAAAGGCCTTATGTGCCTCAAAATAGGAACCAGTTAACTCAATAAATTTACAACCTCAACTATTCCCTCTTTTGACTTTTTCAGACAGGAATGTGTTTGGCGTTCCCCTCTCAGTTGTACTTCAGCGCTCTGGTCAACCTCTTCCACAATCTATTCTCTTTGCAATCAACTATCTACAAAGATCAGGTAAGAAATCTAAGACTTGTGTTACATTCTATTTCCAAGTTTTGCCTTTATATGTGGACTGCAGCATGTCATAACCTTTACATGTGGAACCTGTGTAAGATCTTGTGGTTACTTGCACAAGCCTTTAAGGGATTAGCAAAAGTAATTGTCAAATCAGGACAGAACAACTACTTTCTGGCCTTAAGAGAAATTTAAAAGTCATTAGTTTGATAATTTAACATAGAATTTGTGTTTGACATAACATTTTGACATTTAATTCCTTTTCACAGCTGTGGATGCTGTTGGCATATTCAGAAAATCAGGTGGTAAACAGAGAATAAATCACCTGAAGGAAATGATTGAAGGAGATCCAGGTATAACTAAGCTACAAGAGTAGATTTTTTCTTCTTATGAAAAGGAGTACATTATTTTAGGATAGTCATGTGAATAATGTACACTTGCATGAGTAACAGTGCAGTTTTTTTCCCATATTTATGCAATAACTCATTAGAAGTGAGCAAGCACTGATTCACTTAACATGGGGACTGATAGCTTGAAGCGCTGATCAGGCAACGAGACATTTCTTTCTCATGCACAGGGTAAAAAATGTAGAGGACCTGTAGCTTACCCAATTATAACTTACAATGAATGATAACGTAATCATTTGTTGTTGTTTTGATACAGATAATACTGACTTTGAGGGCTTGTCACCATATGACATGGCAGACATGTTGAAGCAGTATTTTAGAGAACTTCCAGAACCTATCTTGACATCTAAACTGGCTGAAACATTCATAACAATTTTCTCAAGTAAGTAGATGATTGATGACCATAAAAATGTTTTGACTAGTTTATGATAAGCACTGATATCAAATGGTATTTCATATGAAAAATGCTGTACTTCAACAAACAGTTAGATAAACAAGAAATTCCCAAATGAGAAATTCATGATGTTAAATGAGATTTTATGTGCAAAACAGAGTTTTCAAATAAATTAATTATGTTGGATTGTTAAGTTCCATATCAGTTGAAGTGATTACATGCAATATCAAATGAGAGGTAATATTTGTGAAAAGAGAATTCATGCACACTTAAGTCAGATGCATTAATCTTGTCCATTTTTCCCCCCTTTAAAGGCATTCCCCCTGAATCAAGAATGGAAGCAATGCAGGCTGCCATTCTCCTCATGCCTGACCCAAACAGAGAAGCACTCCAGACATTATTGTTGTTCCTAAATGAGGTGGCTGCCAATTCTGAAACAAATCAAGTAAGATTTATGACAAGAATTGATGTGTAATCTTTGTTTGAGAGAACCAATCACAAAGTGAAGATAAAATTACCGCTTGTCAGGCATATTATGCTACATACATTGGTGCGACCTTGATCAGATCATCAATCATTTTTGTGACTCAACGCTACTATATCCAATTCTCAAAGAAATATTAATCGTCTTTGATACTAAATTCAGATGTTCGTCGCTCCTCAGCACTAAATAGTTGGTTGGATCGAGTAGTGTCTAAAAAAATAGATTATTTCCCTTTTAGATGAATGAGAAGAATCTTGGAGTATGCTTTGCTCCTTCTCTGTTCCACTTGTGCGGTACAAAGGAAGATCCGTCTTCTCCAAAGCGACAGAAGCGAACACCTATGAACAAGGCTTCAAAGGAACTCACTGATAATCTGGTAAGCGCTCCTCTCTTGCTTATTAACAACGTAACTTCATTAAGGCAACCAGTGAAAATAGGTGTAAACAATTTCCCAACTTAGCTCACTTACTTAGTTTGAATGCATTTCTTGAGACGTCTTTGCTGGGAAAATTTTGGGACTCGATTAGAGCTAAGTCGTGCGTATGAGGTTAGAAAAATATAAACAGCGCATCTAGTTGAACCCAAATCCTAACTTTAGCGATCTGCTCTTCTGATTTTCCGCGAAAAGATGATATAAAATTAACATGTTGCCGCTAAATCTCACCATTACAGGCCGCCCATGAGTGTTTAGCTAAGATGATTACAGAAGTGGATAAGCTCTTCTCGGTAAGTTCCATTCCCGTTAGAGTAATTTTCAAATCCTTAAGAGCAATTCTTGACAACATTACTTTCTTTTATTAAAAAACTTAAACGACTTACCTAACGAAAACTTGATGTTATCGTTATTTGTGTCACAGATTCCCGAAGACACGGTGAAGAACAGTCGGTTTTCGTATATCGAGCAAGGCGAACCTGTTTCTCTAGAAAAACTTGGAAAGAGTAAATCCAGTCCTGAAAGTGATTATCAGACGTACATCGAATCTTGTATCGCTGGATTACTTAAGGTAAACACATTTCTTTTAATGTATGTGTTAAGGGCCTATGAAGTGCAATTTAAATCCCACCAGTCGATATTCACCTTTCCCGCCCTTTACTGCTGCGCGTGTCCAAGATTACTTCTGATTGGCTTATTCAATTTTATCGAGTGCTAATTGGGTAATTTTCATCTTGCTGGCCTTTGCTTAAATTGTAAAATTTGTGGAATGATGCAACTTCTTCTCAATAATTTAAACGTTTTCATAGTTGTTAGAAAAAAAGTTGTGTCGGAGAAAAATCATCCGCTTATTAATCAGCCTCGTCTTTTCCACTTTCAGGAAGCAAAAGACAAATTTAAGGGGTGGGTGTCTCACCCGTGGTACGACAGCTCAGTAGAGATCTCTTACAAGAAAGTGAAAGATGGTTACCCTCTCCGATTGTGGAGATGCGTTGTGGAAGTCAATGCCAAGCCAGAGGATATCATAAGAAGAATTCTCTACGAAAGGTATAAAGAAAGACTTATTGTTTGATTCATTGCTGCAACGCGCCATCGTGCCCTAACTGGAAAAGCTTAATTTTCAGTTATTTTGCTATATAGCTCTAATGGTTTGCAGTTTTGTGCACCTTAAAAGTTTGGGAATTTTCATGATAGTGTAAGGTACTTGTGTACAACAACGAACTACGGATGTTGGAGGTTACAGTGCAAGATGATCTGATAATGCGTAAATTTGCAATTTATTTAAATTAACTTCTAAATATTTAATTGCTAGACCAGTGCGATACGGGCTTTGACCGCACAAAGATACCCATGAGCTTGAGAGTGGTCTAAGTAATTTTTTTTCCACAAGGCATCTTTAGTTTTTTTATGTTTCATCATCCTCTCCCCGCTTTGTCAACACTGTGCAATTCAACCAGACTTCCTAATTGAAAGTAAGAAGTCCCTTTTTGCTCTCTAACCGATGGTGGCGTCTCTTCTTTCAAGGCATCTCTGGGACGAAGACTTGGAAACTTGGGATATGGTGGAGAAAATTGACGATCACACAGATGTGTTCTTTTACACCACCAAGTCTATGATCCTTCAACCAAAACGACAACACGTAGTGCTAAGGTAAATGGCTTATTGAAACCTTTTTTATAATCCAGCTGATAATCTAGAACCTACTGACAATGAACAAGTACGTGCATGTGCTGAGAAACGTTTTCTCATGCAAATGACATCAAGCTGTTTTAATTTACTCCTCAGTACCCGGCTCTTTTGTAATTCCCACTAAATTTGAAGTTTGACTGAGAAGAATAAACAAATATTGGTCGATTGACATGCCACCTTTTGAGCCGTTTCTATATATGAAATAGGGCTACAAAGAATCAGCACAATAACGTAAAACCCGGAGGGCTCTTGCGTAACCTTAACATGTTTTTACGTCTCTATCAGAAACTATCGATCTTATCTTGCACTGAAGCTTTACTTGTCGAAACACTTGTATTCATTCAAAATAGCATTTCTTTCTCTATCTCTTTGAGGAAGAAGCAGGATAACAAGGTTCTTGTACAATTGACAAAGGCAACTTTTAGTTTAGGAAGTATAGCTGAAGCTTATCTCATGTTGCATCTCTTCGAACTAAATTGAAGTGTACTCTCCTTTTTTTTTTATCTAAGGGCATGGACGGACCTCGATAAGGGTGTTTGTGCACTGGTCTCCACATCTATCAATCATCCACGGGCCCCTCCTAGCAATGGAGTACCTTCAATTGTATTGGCGTCAAGATATCTAGTGGAGCCTCTAGAGAATGGCAAATCACGACTAACTTACATAAGCCGAGTAGACCAGAGGTGAGGACTATCTCAGTTCCGCAAGGGACCTGGGAAGGGGAAATGAGGTCTCAGACTTGCCCATTTTTGTACTGGGAAATTAAAATTTGGGTCACTGGGACTTGGAATTACAAAATTAGGGAAATATACCCTCTTGGCAGACAAAATAGGCTGGCAATTGTAGATTGAGAATTATGACTTATACCCAAACCTCCCACTTTCGCCCTTTAGAACAATACTCTTTTACAAAATGTAAAAAGAACACATACATTTTAAACTATTCGTAAGATCCTACCTCCAACTTTCTCGTATTCGTTGGTTCGACTTAGAAATGAGCTGCTGAAATGTTAATATATCGTACAATGGTGTCATTGTCCGTTGTAAAGTGACCTTGGGCAAGTTTCCTGTATTCTTATGCCCTACTGAGTTCGAACAAAAAGTCGCAGAAATCTTTATCAGCTTGTAAATCATTGAATAAAACTCACCCATAGAATCTGGCTGACTACCTGGGCGGCGTCTTTTATTAATTATACTCCGACGGATAAGTTAGACACAGCCTTCCTGACGTTAAATTGACAAATTCACGCGTTTCCAACGAGTTCGAATCGGTGAAGGAAACATCTTGGAATATCTCTTTAATCTTCTTATTTTTCGGATGGATTCTTATCAACCACTCCCTTTCCTCCAACATGCTAAAACCCACGTTGGAAGAGGATGAAAGTTATTCTTATAATTAGATTCTTAGAGAATGTTCTCCGCCTTAATTTTTACTTAATGCTCCTTAGATCTCAATGGATAAAATATTCGCTGCTCGTAATCTTTTCTTTGCAAAGGCTTTTCTTCTCCCTCAAATGTGTGTGGGCCAGAACATAAATTCATGAAGTCAAAATTTTAATTACTTATTCTTATTCAGGGGTAGAACTCCAGAGTACTACAGCAAAGCCATCGGACCATTTTTAGCTTCGTTAGTGGCCAAAGTACGGAACACTTTCCAATACGGATCAGAGGGCCCGGAAACCAAAGTATAGCAAACCTCGTGTCTACGTACCAAAGTACTAAAGGAACGAAGAGTGCCATTGCCATAGATACTACTGGCGCAGAATTTATGCTCTTGGTGACAGAAGAATGGAAGAAAAAAAATTGAATTCGTTGCAAAATTATTTCTGTAGTCACCTTGAAGACATGGGTAAATGCTTGTAAAGGTGTGCCTAGCAAGTGTCCCTTGGTTATCACGCAACACTTTTACCCACGTAACATTGCGTAGCGTTATGCCTAAGTCTTCGGACACTTAACAAAGGATCATATCAACGAACAAAAGGACCTATTCTCTAGGAGAATATAATTGTTTAAAAGATGTACAGAGTATTTAAAAGTCCACATTCGTAATTCACTCGTGTATTCGCGTCGAATCATTCAGTTCGTCCTCACGAACATTTTTTAAACGAGAATACTTTTGAAGCTTTTTTTTAAACACTTTTAAGGAAAAAATTTTCACCAGGAAAATAAATGCCTTATTTATCACTTCCACTGTGGCAAAATATGCCAAAATTTGGAGCCATGAGGAGAAATATTTTTATGCTTCAAGTGAATGGCTTCGTTTGTTAATTGAGGTACAAGAGTTTTATTCGAATTAACATTTTTTAGTTAAATATCGTCATCTGATTAACTTAATATTTCAGCTAAAATGTAAATTATGCCACTGCTCTTCCGTTCTTAATTTATTATCCTTTGCAATGAATTATTCACAAAGTTATAATATATACGACGAATCATAACTATGGTTACCTCATAAAATGTCATTCACTTGATCATTCAAAGGAAAAAGGAGCCAATTCTACCAATTTGGTTTCATAATAAACGCAATTTCAAAACCTTAAGCAGAGTTTCTCAGTAGTTGCCAGGCTTTTTTTTGGGGGGGGGAGGGGAAGGGGGGTTGGGAGGAGGGAGGGACCCCAGAAGTTACTTCGCCACCAATCATATACGTTTACCTGAAGGACGTACGTCGTGTGAGTGTGTAACAACCACACTGTGCCCATACCAATGGAAGTGAAATTCATTTCAAGATTCCATTCAAGACGTTGCCGTATTCTTTTCTGGGCCACGTGTTGCGCTCATACTTTTTCAGTCCAATCATTTGTATGGCGCCCTTCACCAATTAAATACCCGACAACCTGGATCAATTCTGATACCGTTACATCCGGGAAGGGTTCAAAACTCGTTCACCTTTAACCTCTTGACCCGTAAGAGCGACTAGCATCTAATTTCCCTTTACTATTTCATCCCTGAATTACGCATTGAGGTCACGAGGAGAAAAAAAATGAAAATCGACTAAAGAAGCTCTTGATTGGGGAAAAATTCCCCTTGTCAGCAGCTTTGGGAATGTATAGAGAACAGTAGGGTAAAAATGCATAATGATGTTTGGGTGTGAAGGATTAATGATACTCGCAGTAACAAGGATGAGTTCTGGCCATTGGCAGTTGACCAAAAAGGAAATAAGCCACGTGTTGCCGTACCCTTTTCTCCTCTCCCCCCAGGAGAAACATTTCTCCTTTGGGGGGAGGGTACGGCTACACGTAAGCTAACTCTACTAATTCGGCCGAAGACATGCAACGTATCACAGACCTGGTTTTTTGATTACGAAGTCAGGCAGTTGTGGGGCCAATATAATTATCACCCCCTCGTTTTTCCAACACATCCACGAATTAGGCATGCACTCAAAAATCAAATGATTCTATAATTGCTTAGGGTTCTATAATTTCCACAAAAACATGGCGTTACGCACACAGTTACTCTTATCAAATTGCCCTTTTGACCCCTAGAATGATTAACATCTAATTTCTCCTTACAATATCAACCTACAGGTCACGGGAATAAAGAAAGTAATCACCCACTAACAACAGACGCTCTTGATTGTTGAGCAAATTCTCCTTCTCAACCTAACAGAAAATATATAGAGAACAGTATAGAGACTATGTATACTGATGCCAGGGTACAAAGGGCACAAAAGGGTTAAAGGTTTGTTTAATCTTCTTAACACCCTCTTTCCGCCGCGTCAATAAATTAGCCATTCAGACGACAACCTGTAAGTCTACAAAACCACGTTAGGAATCGCACGAACCTGCTGTTTAAGTAACGTCGCAGTGAGTAACTCCGTTTTATAATACTCGGTAACAGGAGTGGAACTATGAAACCCTGTCAGGTAGTTCGGGTGATCTTCCAAGGAAAGCTAACAGTTGAAGTAAGTTCACGCTGGTAAAATTTTTCTTACCGATCAAACTGCAACTGCTACAAATGAGAATTTTTTTCCCAACAAATAGCCGATTGAAAACGATGAAGGTATGTGTTCACCATAGTGAAAGCGAGTGATTTCTTTTTCAAGGTAATTTGGGCCGTAACCTCCAGCATTTCAACTGACAGTTAATCCAGTGTTTGATTTTTCCGTCAGTTTCATTTTTACTTCTCTTACGTAACAACTACACTTAACACAAATGTTCACCTCAGGGGTGAATTTATCGCATGCCAAAACCCAGAGGCCACAGAGAAGATTCGCAACGAAATTTTCTAGAAGAGTCAAGTTCGATTCCTCATTGGAAGCTCATTTGCAGAACTTTAGTGCGTAAAGAGAGAGTAGATAAGAAGTAAGACCAGACATAACCAAGCGAGATTTAGATCCCAGGGGGCGGGGGGAGGGGCAGAGTCTTAATGACCCAAACGTGCCGCAAACAAGGGTAAGGCTCAAATGTGCCGCAAACAAAGGTAAGGCTTTCGGGGTCTTGATCCTAAACACACAATGCTATTCTGATATGAAGTCCCTTGACCGGGGTACCTTCCTGGATCAAAACCCTTAAACAGGGTACAAAAATAACAGTCTGCGGTCTTAAATTACGATTTTTTTTCTCAAGTGTAATTCCAGTGGTTATCTCAAAAGGTCTAATAATCCAGACGGGGTGCCTTTCCTTGACATCCTCTGTTTCATTTTGTCTTTGGCGGGGTAAGGAGTTAAGGTCCTCAGCGACACAGGTTCGGCAAAACTTTCCTTTAGGCTCTTCCCCGAGATAGAGACATTCGGTAAGATACGAAAATAACGATATCTCTTCCTTTCAAGAGTTATTGCACTAACTATAACTCAAGGCTTACTCCTATCGCAATAAGGGGGCGGTTTAAAGATCATCGGACAGTATAAGAGACTGCCGCACGACCTTGCTGAAAGAAACCCTTTCTACTTTCCGCACGCATGGGGTAGAGAGGAACACACGTGGTACTCAAAACCTTAATTTGACCCTAATCCGTTGAGCACCCACGTCACGGTTCTTGATTCGCGTAGTCGAAAGCTATGATAGGGCAGTTGAATGTCAAAACATCTTTGATTCATGATGTATTTTTCACTTAAGTTTTGGAAATAGTGTTAACTAGTTTCATTTTCAACTCAGTTCAAGTTAACGTTAATATTTCGGATCGTGGTCAGGGTGAGCGTTCATTTCGGCGATTTTTTAAAGTACGCAGTAACTTCCAGTGATCATTGCAAGCGGTACTCACTAAACGGTTTCAAGTAGGCTTTTATTTCGACGAAAATGTCCAAGTTCATAGTTATTTGCAGTTGTCAGTGCAGGTCGTACACACAACAGGCTATATACGTTGGAAGGCTCTTGTTACGTAGCCAACCTCTGTTCATTCTTCTTCGTTCTCCCTCTCGATCAGTGGAGGGAGAGAAGAGAACGCGTCGAGAAAGTTCGCGGGCAATATTTAACTTTCATATCCCGAAGATTAGTTTAAGGGCAATCAGGCGCAACTAAACCACTCTCTCCCGCTCATTTCCATGTTAATACAATATCACACCAGCCGTGTGGTATCCTGACTTAGCATTAAATAATTTGTGTCCGCACGCTAGCTCTCCAACCCTAACAAATAAATTTTCCCGTTATGCAACAGCCGGTTGACGCAAGAATTTATTTATTAGAGGTGGATTCACAAAAGGATATTTTCTAATAAAATCCTAGTTTCTTTCCTCAACAACTGCACTTGTGAAGGAAAATTCATCCCTATCAAGAAGTTTCCTTCAGTCATCCATACTTTCCTTTCAAAAGACTCCAATAGTCTACTTCTTCACAGGCTAGCAAGTCATTTTTTGAATAACTTGTCTACATGAAGGACACCTTTCATGAAAAAACTTATTAATTTTTTCCATCTCCATTTTCAAGGAAAACTTTTCAGAGAAATTTGTCAAGGCCAACTTTCTCTGTTGCAACTTTAGAGTCACTGACTCTGTCCCGGCCAACAAAATACGCGCTTCACAAAGAGATCCTGGTAGCAAGTCAGAGGGGAAGTCAGTTGTAAATATTTAACCCTTTAACTCCCAAGATCTGATTGTTAATTCTCCCCTCTGCCTCTCACTGCCACACATTTCCTTGTAAATTAGTTATTAGAACTTGGTGCTGGATCAAGATAGTGGCTTTTGCCTGATAAGTTTGATTATTCTCATGGATATTATTGGGAGAAGTTACATGTTAATCACTACTGGGAGTCAAAGGGTTAAGCGCAGTTTTCTCCCTCTTTTCCTTTTTAACATCCCGTTATCTCATAACCATGAGTCCAGGCATCAGTGATGATATCAATGCTTCAATCAAGTCACTAGAATCGTCTTAGATCTGAAGGCCACAGAGCACAACAGAGTTTCTCATCATCAAATTAATTAATATCACTTTGTGCGCAATATCCATGTTTCATTTGAACAGTTATGATTGGTTGTTTTGAGGCATTTATGAAATTTTTAACGACCTTCACTTATCACAAAATATTTTTAACTGCGGTAAACAACTCAACGTTCAGTCATTGTTGGAAAACTAAAAAGGTCCACTCAAAAAAACTGATCCATTCTGCCTCTCCAAGTGGTAGCTTTCGGACAGATCCTAGCTTCGCCAGAACAGGTCAAGGTCCGAGACAATCGCCTAGTGTGTTATCTCGCGTTTTGTCGACGTCACGTTGATAAGGTAACCTCTTATCTACGTTACGCTTCGTAGAAAACTACAATATAAAGTCATTAGCTTCTGAAGGTCCAGAATAGAGAGGTGGTTTAAAAAATCAAGCTGACAACCTCAAGTTAATAGATGACATCTAAGCTATATTTTGGTCAAAAACATAACAATATGTACAAGTACTGAAAGAAAAACAAAAAAAACAAATTTTCGACGATACTGTGTTGGTCTGGCACTGTTTGAAGCCGGTAGTTCAGTTGGCTTGCCAGCGAACGAGAACGTGGTGAGTACCAACTCTACACATCTTGATAACAATGATCTAAGTGTTACATAACTGAGTCAGATTGCATTCCATCACGTTTGTTTGTGAAAAGTCCTCTATTTTTTTGGCCGGTGATCTATTAGAATTGAAGATCTACGGCGGACTACCACGCACTATATGGCTAAGTATGGGTGGTAATTCCGATAGTTTTCCGTCTTAAAATTTGTCGCATCTCGCAAAAGCATTTTTGGTCGGTATTAAAATGTCAGGCGGTATTCGCAGATGATTAAATATTTTATTTGAGGAGGTTATTATAAAGACAAACCGTGTTCCAATTTCGAGCCGAATGTCGTAAATACCATTGCTTTAACCGGCACAGTTTTCCACGCGAGCCGTCGGCTATCTTTGGAAATGCTCTGTTATGTTTGGCACCTGCGCATAAAGGATAACTATGTTTGAGCTCAGCCTAGGTTTCACTTAAATACTTTTTTTAAAGTAGATTTATTGCTCAACTAAAGGAATTGTTTGCCAGTAACATGAAAGGAGATAGATTAAACAAAACACTGAAGAACGGGATTAGTAATGCAGAACGTCGCTCATCATCATAAGTAATGCGGGCGCTCGGGTTTGAATATTGCACTTAAGATTCATATCACGTAGAAAGATTAAGACAAGTCGTCGAGGTCAAATATGCCGCTCCTCCGGTTCCTTCTCCTTCCTCTTTTTGGCAATTATCATTGAAAGGATGCTTTCAATTCATGTCATCATTTCTACGCGATGTATCAACAGCTTATACAGGAGACGTCGCCTCTACAAATCACCGAGTATTTTGGAAAAAAGGAAAAAATATCAGAACGTAGCCATAACTTATGCGTTTAGAATAATACGTGGTTGCCGGAAACTCGTAAATATACCCTTCAATTTCGAGGAGCATAAATCTCGATATTACGGAATCGTCAAGTTGGAGTTTAAAATAAGCTATTTAACTTCTCGTGATTAAAGACATTTCAAGAGTTGTCAGACGTCATTTTTACAAATAAAGTTCTGGGATTGTCAAGAAGTCACGTTGTGTTCTCCGCAAAAAAAAAATCTATAGCGTGACTTTTAGCAGTAATGAATATTTCGGCAACAATAAGACCTTTATCTTGGTGAGACTAGGAAAATTGTTTCCCAGATTCAATTTAGTCACGAAAGGTTAAAAAAAAAAAGATTAAACTAAGTTTAGGAAGAATTCTTTAAGTGAAATGTGTCTCATCTAACGTCAAAAAAAGTCTTCAAACAGATCGCAAGAACACATTATTCATCATTATTTTCGATTATTCAACAAACAGTGACACCGGAAAGTACTTGAACAGATCAAGAAAATTTGTTGAAAGAAATAGCTAACAGCAAAAACTTAATTGCGAGTTCGTGAAAACTACACTCGTCGCTTCACATCCGAACCGCCGCAGAGTGAGCAGATTAATTATAAAAAGGAAAAAACACTTCAGTTCACTGGAACCTTGGCGGAATAACCGTCAAACGAAACAATCCCAAAACTTCCCGAAACATCAGACATCAGCACGCGATAGATTAAGAATTTCGTGACGGTTAATCCTACGCACATAGCCGGTCTTGGTGGATTTAGCCCAAGCGCAAGCAACGTCATTTGAAGATCTTCAGTCGAGTACAATCAGAGAGCTTTAAGAGTCGTAAGTCACGCAAAAGGACGCCACCTTACTTCATTAGATCAAAACGATCTCTAAATCATTCTCGCAGGATCTGCAGAGTGAAAGAGCTGCGTTCTTACTATCCCGTGGGGGCTTTTTGGCAAATTTTGCTTTTTGGCAAGGTTTCCAAGGAGAGAATTATTCTTAGCCTCAGGTAAGAAGCGCACACGTGCTAACATTCGTTTTTTTTCCTACGCGATGGCGACCTTCATGTCTTGTCGATGAGCCTCCTTTCTGTGTAAATTTCTTCGTGTGATGTGACCTTAGCTTTATAAAACCGCAGCTGCGCTTTCCAGGGCTCTTTTAAGGACCTGTCAATCATTTTTCTCCACTGCACTAAAGAGTATTCATTGATCACGGGGTAGCTACATAGTCTGCTGTGCTAGTAGCAAAACGGTGAGGACGACAAGCAGCCTCAGTGCTTAGCGCTTTATGACTCATCCAGCCTTCTTGTCTCAAGGTTCGGCGTGAAATGATGCCTGAAGTCGAATCAGTTCATCCCATTGTCACCAGCCGCAGAAGAGATCATTACCGGCAGAGATCTTACAGCCAGTACTATGAAGGTAAGAGAAATTATCGCTTGTTGGACTGATCCAAAATTAAATGAGGTGTAGGATGGGACGTGTTCAGTGCCGATGAAATATGAAGATTCTGGCATTCTTGCATTGGAGAGATTTTGCAAGCGAACGGTCGTTGAAATTAAGCCGACATTAAACTATGTGTCGTAGCGAAAGCCGTCTAAGATTGGAGATGAAACTCGACTCCATAGCCCACAATTCAAATTTGAATCAAACCGTCTGGGGGAATATAAAACTCATTCTTTAATCAAATAATGGAAGTTTTTATCACCATGAAAGATGGTCTCTCGCCTTATTGACATAGAATTCGTTAGCGCGTCTAGATACAATATTGAACTGTTGACAGGGACAGATTTGACTGGGAGCCAACTTTTACCACGATGGCCTCTTAAACCAAAATATTATGTTACGAGCAAAGACACGGTCAGCCTACCCACGAAGGATTCTCAAAGAGAAACGTTGCCGTTGCTTCCATATATCCAACACCGCAACAAACTGAAAATCGGTTGGGAGGCGTAGAAAAGATGTCTGAAGGCTTGATCTTGCGAGCATGGTGAAACTGTACTGCCATTAAAGAAAGCAAATTTCGAACAGCGCATCGATCTAAAACTTTTTGTCAATGATAGCTCTCCACGTGGGTTTTTGTAAACCGATCTCTCATTTATCATTCACCCCAAGCTAGTTCAAGTTGTTAAAATTTGTAAAAGTTGGTTCATTTCGGACGAAAGAGACTTTCACAAAGATCGTTGTTGTTTTAGGTTGATCTGATCACGTTCGTTCAACTCTATACAAATAAAATTAATCAAAACAAACATTTAATTAGAATCCAAATTTTGATTGCTCGTTAATTTGCAAGAGACATGACGGTTTCAAGGAGAAAAATGAAATGATTAAATGCTCAGGGAACTCGGAGAGGTTGAGAAATTGTCAACGCTAACGGAATTAAAAGAAATATGACGTTTCTTCACAAAATTTTCCTTTTTTGTCTTGCGTCAAAGAACGATTGTCTATGACAACTGTAGCCTGACGCATGACAGTGTTCATGATCTGCAAAGAATAGTTGGTTAAAACCAAATTGTACGTTTGAATATCCAAAACTCAATAGCTTGCATGAGAATATAGGAGAGACGATATCACAGTTTAATGCCAAATGAAACATCTTGCCAGGACCTGATTGTTTTAAAAATTTTTGTAAAACTTCAAAAACTTTTTCACAGTGAGTAAGAAAGATCCACGGGAACCTTTCTTTCGAGGTAAAAATTTGTTATTTCTGTCCCGATAACTGCGCCTCTAAACACGGTCTTCCACGTAGTTATCAGCTCCATCTCTTTCGAATGAATAAATCGAGACGAACGGTTGGGTAATTTTAAGAGGGGAATAAATCAAACAAGTCTGCTCTTTTGACAACTTTGTTTGACTTTCGTGTCTGACTTGTATTCATAATTGGTCTATTACACCCCGGTGCCTTTTGTGTTAAATCTTTGATGAGGATAAGATGCATCAAGATGCGAAGTTAGATCTACGCCAACGAACTTCCTTTCGCCTGAGGTTATCTTGAAAAAAAAACAAAGATTTTGAATAAAACGGATGTTATTGGTAAGTGTTTCGCCGCCTTCCCTTCATGAACACGAACCAAAGTTACGTCAATTTCGCGCTATTGACGAACGAACCAAGGATTACAAGTCCCCGGGGTATATGATAAACAAAATGTGTTTGGATAACTTTGCAAAGCCGTTTGACAAACTTTCGAAATTATTTCAAAAGTGATTTTTCTACTGTTAACCGACAATTCTCACAGGTAGGGGTAGTTTGGAAATAGTGAGCAACGGGAAGTCCGTTGCTTCGTGCGTCCAGATACAGTAAGCAACAAACCTACGAAATCACTTTCGGCGACAAGGGAAGGTTGAGCTCGGGTTATCGAACGCGCCATCAAAGAGAATGGTTACAAAAGGATCTGTTTATTCGGTTTGTTTACACACTGGTTATTCTCTTCTGTCTACTCAATCAGTTCTACAAATCAGAACTTGTTACTTTTAAGTCTGTCTTTGAGGTTGCTTTGACTGTCATTAATTGTTAAAGACCGTGTTTGTTGTGCGCAGCAAATTACAATAGAATTGGCTTTTCGCGCGTGACGTCACACTAATATTGTTTATCAGCCAATCAGGAATGGGAATTTATTGATTTCAATTAACAAGATCTGCCCTCGCGTCAATCAATGAATGATTAGCAACTCACTCACAGCTACACACAAAACGCAATTCCATTAGAAAATGCGGCGAATAAGTGGCAAATTATGAAAGTCTCCACAACGTCCGACGCCTCAAGACGTGCGCGGCAATTGCCAATTCATGCTCTGCGTGTCACGCCATTTGAAGTTATGTGAGGTTATTTGCAGTTGGGATACGTATTCATGGTTCTGAACGCTTGCGACAGCGACAGTCCAACAGAACCGGTGGAGAGGGTTTCGCCATCTTGCAGAACAGTAACCCAATCTCCAAGAGCCATGAACGAATCAAGCATTAGCGCAAGAGGGCAGCGTAAATACCGTACAACACGTCCCTACGAAGACGAGGTCGAGCGAAGCGACGATGAACCGAGGATAGGCTCGCCGACTTCTATGAATACGCACAGAGAGCCTGCCGAAGGCTCGGGCGATACGTCTCCGAGGGTTGACGGCGACGGGTCCTCTTCGTCTGGAGCTAAAAAGAAAGGACTTCAAAAGCTTGCTTCGGGAGCCATTGCTAACATCGGATCGGTTTTTAGGGGGGGTACTACAAGTGGTGAATCAGAGGGGCGAAATGACTTAAGTGCGGGTAGAGCGTCTAAAAATTCATCGAAGGGTTGGTCTAATACTCCTGATTTCACTATCGACTCTGATTCAGGCATGCAGGAGAAGCTGTCACCGCCTTCCCACAAGGAGAAGTTTTTCCAGAAGGGCTGGCGAAATCGGCTGAAGGTCATTCCCAACGCAGGCAATGCCCTGTGGATTCCTCAGGTATGGCTGCGACCGCGTTCATCGCGCTGACTGCTCAATGTCGCGTTCCTCTGGTTCGCGATGAGCTGCGATTGAATTTGTTGTAATGCGCCAGCGTCTAAGATTAAGCGGAAGGCGTGGATTGATTTACCAATCGTGAAAATTGTATTAGATAGGTTACGCACAGCCATTTTTCCATCGGCATTTTCCCCTCTACTATTCATTCCACGCGTTCTTGACCTTGCTAAAATATCGAGTGTCATTACACATCTTAATGCTTCAAGCGTGCTCCTTTCAAAGCATTTGACCAGCGTTTATTGGGTTCGAATCGGCGCTTATACTTGCGTTTACGCTAGACTCTGAAATGAGAGCAGCTAATTGTTTTGGCAAACTATCTTGGTACATTCCGCCGTCTTCTGCCATTCTTAAAACAAAACCCAGCAGAAGATAAATACACAAGTCGCTTAGCTTGTCAGGAACACGTTCTTAAGCAAGCATTATCTCGAAGCCCTCATTAGAGTTTACTACAGAGTAATAACTGCTCCAAAGTCCTTGCAGCGCATTTTTGTTAAATTGCCAGAGCTTTGCATTTTCATTTGTTGAATTAATGACCGTCCTAACGAGATGCGAACTTATTTTCTCTCTTTTGTGAAGGATAACTTTAGCTGGTGCTCTGTGGAAGGACGCAGACTTCAGCTGACAGACACTCAACTTTCGGCTTTGTCCGAACCGGAGTGTATCGCTCTTCAAAGAGTCGCTCAAACTCGGTTAAAGCAACTGGATTTTAAAAGTCACCTAACGATACCTAAAGGTACGAGTGGTACAATAATCCTTACTACAATATCTCTTTTATCTATTTATTTTTTAATTTCTCTTAATGGCTCTCCGCACTTATTTGATTCCAGTATTTTCGATTTTTTTTTTCAAGAGATAAACGTACTGGTAAATGCGCTAAACAATCACATCAATTAGAAACATATTATCGACCTTTCCGGTCAAGAGCTGCTTACTGTTGAATAGGTATACTATTCACTGAAATCAAAATGAAATAAAAGTGACTCTTGCAACGTTTCAATTCATTTCAGTAATTACTTATCGCTCGCAAATATTCCTCAGTGCAATATTGGTTTTTACAATTGCTGAAGGTGCGATTTAATGTGTTAAAAAAACACTGTAAAAGCCATTACCGTACACTACATACATATCTACACTTGAAACAACAACCATAAACAGTATTCGCGACATCCAAAGCGGTTCTTTTGATGAGATGTTGTATAAATTTTTAGCAAAATGAAAAAGTGATTCAAGGTGAAATTTCAACGGCTGAACGCGTTTATTTTGTTTTTAACTGAGAATAGCCTCGTACTTTCAAATCAGAACATTCGTGAAATAGTAGCTATTCAGGTAGAAATAATCGTTCTCTGTTGTGGCGACTAAAGACGATCGAGTCGGCCAACCTCTTCCGACACGGAAACGTACAAGAATTGTTTATTTCAATGCCGATTTCGCAATGACGCCGGGATTTTTGTTTTCGGCGACGTTCCTGAAATTGCTTCGATTTTTTTTCATTCTTTCCGATTTCACGACAGCGGAATAAACAATTATCGTCATTTTAGCTTGAGCATGCACTTCTCGACAATTATCTAGATGCCTCGGCGCACGCTGTCGCTTTTTTTAAAATGCGTCAATCTGGTTATTATCGTTCTGTTCGCGTGCGCAGAGTCTATGCACAAACCCTGAACGCGTAAAATCGTTTCGACCGAAGGGAATGCAAATTTTTCTTGTTCCAAATTCCTGTCTTGCCATAATAAACATATCACGGTTTGGGATGTAAGTAATGACCTGTCACCGTTATTGACAAAAGGACTGAAGGAGATGAACTACAATCAGCTCTTGAAATCTCTTAATTCGAGCTGCAACTTTTCATTGGAGCCAACATCAATAGTCTTTATCATCTTTCCCTTGGCACGTTGACAATGGCTATGCGTCTAAACATAAATCACCCGTTCAGAGAGACAAACTTTATTTGAAAACCGTCAAAGCAATTTGAGCCCATTTATCAAGCACACTGTTTATCTCTAGAAACTCTGTGGTAAAACGTAACAAGTCATATACGCACAAACTGTCTGTTAAGAAAACATTGAACGAATTGTCTGAACATGTTGACATAAAAAAGGACTCAATTTTGACATTCTGCATTAACTGACTGTCACATCATGTAATCGTTTTAGCTGGCTTCCAAAAAAAGAGATGACAATTTGACATTTTTAGTTAGTACCTGAAGACATTGGGATCATGGGGGATGCTGACAGCAATTTTCGGTCAAGTTCATTTACTTTGTTAGTTACATAATATTAGAAAAGGTTATATTTATGTCTGGACTTTTGTTACATGAGTCAACTAAAAGTTGTTCAGGACAAACGTTTGTAATAAGGATGAGTTTGTCTCCTCCCCCTTATCAAATCAGATATTTTTATTTCATGCAACAAATACTTGACAGGAAAAGAAATTTGATTTTTCATAAAGTTAAAGTGCATCTATTTAAATGATCTTGTATGATCTATGAGTCAAAGTGCAGAATGAGAATTATAAGTTTCCAAATTTGCTCTGTTAGATTTCTCTGCCACACCAAGCTATATTTAGCAGGTGACACCCCCCCCCCCCCCCGATACTGTCATAAAATTCTCACATGCAATTGGCTATCTAATACACAATTGGTAGGACAATAGACGTCATGCTACGAATGACCAGTGTAATTGGACAGTTTGCATATCATCCCTGTGTAGTTGCACAGTAACTGATATTTGCTTAACCTTTAACTCCCAAGATCACATTAGTAATTCTCCTTACTGTCTGCCATACAGTTCTTGTGATGTTAGTTTTGGAAATTTGGTATTTGATCAACTTATGATCCCCTAATTTATATTTTTCTTCATTCTCATCACTTGTCTGCCTGGTATTGTATTGATAACGTAAGGAGAAATTCTGTCTTGGTCATTCATGGGATTAAAAGGGTTAAGCTGTTTCATAGACTATTAGGTTCGATTCCTCATGCAAAAAAGTCATCATTTAGCTAAAGTTTGTGTAAATCAAAATTGTCCCCCTCTCTTTGAACCCAGAAATATAAAAATCTAACCTTGTTTTGTGGTCCATTAAGTTATTGATGCCTCAGACCTTGTTTGACTCATCTTTCTCATTCATATTTTCCCCCTAAAACCAGATACAAAAGTTTGTACAGGTCAGAAAACTCATTTCATTCAAAATAATCTGCAAGGTTTCTATCGTGCATTAATTTCTCAAATATTTGTTGATTGGTTTTGTACCTGGTGTCACCCCTAGAGAGAGACGGTAATACCTTGTCAGCACTCAACTCACATTATTTGTATCTTTTCATTCTAAGATCCACGGAATCCTAGGAAGTCATTAAAGAGAGCACTGTCATGGAAGAAAGGAAACTCTGGGTCAAGTTTATTTGACAAAGACAAAGGTTGGTAATTCAGTGTTCTCTATGAAATTTGCTTGTATCCTGCACACAAACTTATGCCATTGGATCGTGGTTACGATCGTTGTATAGGCAGTGAGGTTTTAATTAGCTAATTATGCAATGACAAATTTGTGCATGTCTGATTGGCTGAAAACAAGTGCTTTCTCATGTAACGCAAGTGCAAAATTGTAACAAGAGTGCAAAATTGTAACAAGAGTGCAAAATTGTAACAAGAGTGCAAAGTTGTAACACAAGTGCAAAGTTGTAACACGATTGCAAAGTTATAACATGAGTGCAAATTACAAAAAGCATGTCTGCACTGTTAAAAGTTACGTCTGTCTTGACTCTCTTTGAGGTTTTTTCATGTATATTATTAACAAGTGACAACATGATTTCTCATGCAATTTGGTATAATACGCACTTGTAAATTTTTCAAAGACTACAAATTGCACTTGCCCTATGGGCTCATGCAGTTTTGTTGTCTTTGAAGAATTTACTTGTGCTTATTAACACCAAATTCCTCTTGAACCATGTTATCACTTATACAAAATGCATGCTAGATTGAGAATTTTGAGGCAGATCATTAGGTAGAATTTAAGGGCAAGATACTGAATGCCCACAGAGCCTCTCTCTACCAAGGAGCAAATATAGGTACCTGCCAAATGTCAGTGAAACTTGACAGATTTCTGGCTGTACAATAGAGTAGTATCCCTTCAGGGAGGAGTAATAGTCTTAATCACTTTGCGCTCAAGACTGAATGGCTTTGCTAGATGCGTTATTATGATGATACAGTTTTTGAAGCAGTTTCATAGGGAATCCTCTAAAGAACCCCCACATCATAAGCCTGGGCTTGAAATAACAACCAGATAACAGATAATGTATGGTCAACGCCATGGATGGCCACACATTTTTTACTGTTCTTCACACATGCTAAATTCATGTCTTTTTAACCCTTTAACTCCCAAGATCTCCTTATTAATTCTCCTAACTATCTCCCCATACAGTTCTTGTGATGTCAGTTTGGAGAATTTGGTATTGGATCATCTTATAATCCTCTAACTGATATTTTTCTTTATTCTCATCACTTGTCTGCTTGATATTGTATTGATATTGTAAGGAGAATATCTGTCTTGGTTACTCATGGGAGTTTAAGGGTTAAAGAAAGATAGGGCTGTCACTTTTGCCTGCATTGAATTTGAGGCTGCATGTACAATAAAAGATACGACATAATGGATAACTGGCTGGCAAAAATGGGTTTTGTTCGAGCAAAAATAGGTTTGAACAGACAATTTTAACAGTGCAAGCCTTTGTTTGTGTTTACTTATTTATTCATCTCTTCATTTTTTTCAGAAAATGGTGTATTTGCAATACCCCTTCACAAAGCTGTCTCCACACAAAGTCCCCCAGATTCCAGTGAACTAAAAAAATCACCAAAGAATGTTAAAGAGGGCACACCATCAATATCATCAACAGGAACCCAAGAGGCATCTGATGACTCAACTGGGGTCAGAAGACACTCATCTGGATCCAGCATCTCTCACAGTTCAAGATCATCAGTGGATAATTCAAATTCAAATACTGATGAAAAGACCTCTTCTCATAAAGACCAACCTCTGGAATCACCAAGTTGGAAATCACGACTTATTGAAGCATTGACACTACTGTCTTCATCTGCTTCTGCATCCTGTTTGATGGATAAACAGTCAGTGCTAAGTCCACCACAACCTCAAGTTCCACCAATCGTTTTGCACGCTATCGAGCACCTTCAGTGTTATGGTATGGCCAGTCTGTGAAGTTAAAATTGTTATTTCAGTTCTTGCATACTGTACGTGTAAACCTCTAGCTTGTGTGTAAAGATATAGAACTGCTATAGTTCATTTTAAATTATAACATAGCTAGTAAATTTGTCTAATCAAATTCAATTGTGCAAGCGTGCTTCATATTCCTATTGTGCACGGACATGATGTCAGCAAACAAATCCCTCAAGAAAAAATTTTCCATCGGTTTGAAAATTTTATAAAACAATTGGTTCATATGTCAGCTGTGCGTTCATTGAGATATGAAGCACTTGAGAAGTTTGGAGAGCACTCAAGAAGCTAGAGTTGCTCGAGGCTTAGCCAAGAGCAACTCTTACCCATCTTTCATGCTTTCCAAACTTCGCGCATGCTTCATATCTCGATTAATGTACACTGACGTATGAACCAATTGTTAAGCTTTTTTTACCATTCTGGTTGTAAGCCCATCAGACATAAGCCCTTCTAATATCCCCTATGAAGTTGTCTAAGCCCAAGGCTTTAAAGGCAGCAGTTTACAGTACTTCATTAAGCAGTGAGGCCTGTTTAACTACCCCATAGTTGAAACCAAATCATTTTTACCACCCATTCAAAATATTTTTGAAGGCGGTACATTTTTAAACTTGAACAAGTTTGAATTTTTAAAAAATTACTGGACCATTTTTTTGAAGGCAGTACACACAAAGCAGTTGAAATAGAAACTTGTTGCTAAGTGTTTCCTGGCCTTAAAAGAGCATTTAACAGAAGTTATGTTTTCTTCCTGTTTTGAAGGTCTACATGTCCTTGGAATATTCAGAGTTGGAGGTTCTAAGAAGCGAATGAAACAAGTAAATTACATTTTTTGAATAGTTTATTCATAAAAAGACTAGTTTGCTTTGTATAATAGCAAAAGTATTTTGATTTCCAACCAAATTATTTCTTTTATGTTCTGTGTTTCCAACAGATGAGAGATCAGTTTGACTCTGGAGAAAAAACAAAGTTCACAGTTGAAGACAACCCACATGATGTGGCTGCATTATTCAAAGAATACTTCAGAGACCTTCCAGAACCATTGCTCACACGTGACTTGTACTCTGCCTTCTTAGAAACACAAAGTAAGTTTTCAACACAATGCAAATTAAGTGAAATATTTCTTACTTAACGTCCTAAGTAAATTGGTTTTCAGTGACCATCACAAACCTCAAATACGAATGACAGGTGTCCCAAGCTCATGTATCAAGGAAAAGCAAACGATTAATTTATGAAATTGTCACATACTGTGTTACATGGTGTTAAGTTACACAAGGAACCATCGATAATTTGAACGTGTTATAAGGAATAAAATGGGGAAAGAAATATGGATGATTTACAAGGCTAAATATTCTAAAATATAAACATTATACAAGCAAGATTAACAAAAGTTACTCACTCCTTGTGTGTCTGCTGTGGTGTCTGGTGATCACTGCTGTTTTTAAGATTGCTTTACCATCACTGTCACTCCTGATATACACACCATGTCACACAGCGTCACACAGGGTGTGACGCTTTCATGAATTACTAGTTTGCTCTTTCTTGAGACACGAGCTAGGGAAGCACTGTGGTGTCTGGTGTTCACTGCTGTTTTTAAGATTGCTTTGCCATAACTGTCATTCCTGATATACACACCATGTCACACAGCGTCACACAGGGCGTGACGCTTTCATGAATTACTAGTTTGCTCTTTCTCGAGACATGAGCTTGGGAAGCCTGTGTATGAACCAGCAGAAACTCTGAAGATGACAGAAAGGTCAAACCATAACTTTAACTAGAATTTCTATTGCAAGTGAAGTTTGTAAAAGGGAGAGTGATAAACTGATACCACACTGATCAACTGGAAGAAAAGGTCTGTAAGGTCTTTGTTTAAAAGCTTGAATAGTCAAATCAATTGGTGGCCAATGAGAAGAAAGTTACGGTTGCAAATCTTGCCTTTCACTTGAAAAGTGACCATCAAATCTGGCGCTTGGGTAGGTACTTTAGGTAGGACGTTTGCACACAATTTTGGCGGGGGATAATTTGAATGGACCTATGTTCAAGTTCAAATTCCCAGAGGAATTCCCGGGGGAAGGGGTGTTGAAGTTTCGCATTGATCGACGCATAACAATTGTTATTTTCACTTTTTCAGCCTTCGATAATCCAAGTATGCAGATTTCAGCTCTTCGGCTTCTTTGCTGTCTTCTACCAGCACCAAACAGAGACACATTAAAGGTACTCCTGGAATTTCTCGCTGGAGTTGCGCAATGTGCAGAAGACAGCATTGACGAAAAAGGCAATGAAGTAAGTTTTGCTACACATCGTTAGCTAAATTCATTCACTGTTTAAACTCGGTGCAAACTAGATCTTTTTACGAAATCTTTACAGATTTCTAGACTTTGACAAGCACAATGAGTGTTATCCACCTTTTAACTTTAACCTGACTGATTGAAAACCTACCTCCGTTAGTGGAGGTAATGAGCTGACTCTGATTCTTTCTTGCGAATGACTCAGGTTCACCGTGGGCAGCTCGGTTCCGCCATTATGGCTGATAATCGACTGAGAGGAGACTGGTTCTTGACTAAATGTTTTCTTTAGACGCCAGTCCATATCTGTCTAAAAATTTATTGGGTTGTTCGCCTTTTTGCTGCCGTCCATTCTTTAAGGGTTTTTCGGTCCGTCTATCTGATGATATCTATTATTTATGTGATTTACGAATACAAACCAGACAGGTTACGTCAAAACTAAAAAAACTGCGTGATCATTTCAGCATTATTTTAGGGAATCAATTTGAATAAATATATTCTTGTTTTAAGCCGAAAAAAAAAAACAGACCCCATTTTCTTAGGCTATTAACTGGCCTAAGAATTTTAAACAATGATCTGTATCAAATCGCAGATTCTAAACAAACTTTTGCTCTTTCAGATTCCTGGGAACAAAATGAACTCTAAAAACTTAGCTATTATAATTGGCCCGAATATTTTACACAAGGTATGTAAAGGATGAAATAAAAATTAAATTTTAATAGAAATCGGAATGTACATTTGAATCATTTTTGCGTCGTGGTCTTGATTTTAAAATTTTATAATTTTTTCATTTTACTTTTGTTTCATTTCTATTTCTTTTCCCTCTCAGGTAAAAGGGCAACATCACGACTTTCTAGTAGAAGATAAGGCTCGTGCGGATGAAAGGAAGGAAATTATTGATGTGGTGCAAGATATGATTGAACATCACGACCAGTTGTTTCAGGTAGTAGGATCGGCATTGATTATTACATTTTTGCATCACCCGGGAGTAATTCTGATACTTTGAAATGCTACGTAATGACGCCTATCGGCGCCTATCCCTTCAACGTCACACAAACGTTCCTAGAAACGAGTGAGACCTGGGTTTGAGATAAGCCGCGGTCTTCGGGCGCACATGAAATAATAACACAACACGAGTTTCCCTTAGTCTGCGCAGCTTAGTCATTTTCTTTTTGTCTCTGCAAGCCATAACCTCCAATATTACGTTGTGTTCATGCACTTTTGATATCCAATTAGACGCTGTTGAAATTTTTTCTCTTCTTTTTTCATTCTTTAAGGTTTCTGCAGAAATGCATCATGACGCGCTGGTTCATCTTTTGGAAAATGAACCGGAACTTCTGGATTTCATTTTAAGGAGAAGGTTACTGAGAACGCACGGAGTAAGGTAAAAAGTGTGGAAAACATTCTTCTTGAACGGGTAGATTTTGATTGTTGTGAGGTGGAGTTATATTTCAACATTGTCTTTTAACTCTGTATGTTCAAAAGTAAATGGAGGGTTTGTATACACATAAATTTTACGTGTTCGTCAATGTACTTGAAGGGAGGGGGGGGGGGGTGAACGGAAGGCTCGGAAGAGACTGCTTGTGTCACGATAAAATTTACCTTTAATATTCCCATAATTCCCTCTTATGGGCAGCCATTAGGCAGTCGATTGTCTATGGTGCCCCCTATTATTGGTGACGACTGTTCCCCCTCCATTCCTCTTCCGTTCCTCCTGAAAATCATAGGACCCCTCCCCCCACCCAAAAAAATGCCCTAACCCCTCTTTCCCAGAGGATAAAAATGACTGGTCCCTAAGACTTAAAAGCATGATAACCCACTAATAAGTAATGTGCGGTCCTGTTGTTAAAGAAATTTTTTTTCAGACACGTTTTGAAAATACTTACAGGTGTGTCCCCTCGGAAAGGGTGGACGCCCCTCCCCCTCAGATTATCTCCCACGGTAGTTTATCGCTCTTTCTTGTGAGCGCCATATTCACTCATATGGAAAATAAACCGCATCTCTTACCTTCATCTTAACCTCTCCTTCTCTCAATTTTCTAAACAGCTCTGAAACGGAAGACGATCCCTTCATTTACGAAGCTAGTGGTAAAGCAGAGACGCCAGTAAGAGGACGCGTCATGTCCGCTGGAGCGGCAGAGCGTCCTGTAACACGCTTTTCGAACGCGTCTGGTTCGCGTTCTTTCAACGAAGCAAACTGGCGTGCGAGACAAAATCCTTCACCACGCACAGTGACACGTAGCAGTAGTGATAAATCGAATCACAATTCTGCATTTCCTAATCGTAGTTATTCTTTGAATCAAGACGATGCTAGGTATTACCGAGAACACATGTTCGGGCGACAGATGTCTTCACCCGACGATCACGCGTCGACGACGAGTTACAATTCAAATTATAGACAAAACAAACGAAAGACACCGCCGATGACGAGACCTACGTGCAGGTACGAAGGATCTGCTTTCGAGCAGCCTCCGTCTCCTGCTCTTTCTTCAGGGTCGGCTTCAGTTTCTTATTCAAACTTTTCCACACCTCCTTCATCTCCTTCGTCTACTGCGTTCGTTTCTGCGGAATCCACTTCATCGTCACCGATCCCAGTCCGGGCCTATGTGGCTGACGACGGACATTTAATAACTGAATGGACCAGCTTACAAACTGAAATTGAAGTTGAGTTGGCCCGGGACAGAAACGAGGAGTACAACCGTAATCAGCCGTTTGATTCTAGAACGTTTAGTCTTTCAGACTGGCAGCTGGAGAATTGGTTCCAGTGGGAATCTCTAACCCAACAAAACAGTAGCCAGAAAGACTTTCTGGAGCAGGAAACTTTAGTGTAGGAATTCTACGGTAACTGCTTTTAGTTTTAGTTTTTGATTGGCGAAAGAGGTCAATTTATTTAAACAGTCGCGGAGAACAAACACAATTTTTGACGAATTATCGTTGAGGTACTCAAAGGTTTTAACACCCTGTCATCCAATCAGAAGAAGAATAGCTTTGTTAGAGATATGGATAGGTAGGCTTAGCTACGCCGCTGACCATTGCAGCTGGCTCAATCACTATTCAAGAAAACGGGAAGTTACTGTCATGTTGTCTTCGTTCCCACGACTATTAATATCTAAAGCTAGAGCTAAAAATAGAGGTTTGCATTGATAACAAAGCGCGAGAGAAGCATTTATTTATGTAAAAAAATATATTAATTAGAAAACGAGTGCCCTTCTATTCCACACCTGGATAGAAGAAATGAAAATATCATACAAATCTACACTGCGTGTAGACGCCAAGAGTAAAACCGACTTCGGTGAATTCCTTCCTGTTTTTGAAGGTGTATATACGAAAGAAATCAAGTTTGAGAGCGCACATAATTCAAGGTGAGAGAAATAAAAATACCCAGGGCTTCTACGGCCAGGCGCCGGAAGAGAATGTCTGGGTACTAGAGTATCGAGAAATGCCTGTAACCAACCACAGTATAGTTACATATGTAAGCTTAACAGTTTGTAATTAATTTAAGCTTCGGGAGATGTCTGTGTTCGAAAGATACCCGCTAAAGTTCACGAGGTAGTCAGTAATTTTCGGAAAATATTCGTTCTTATCTCCGGTTGATCTCGTTCATGCAACAATTTCTTTGACAACATTGGCTGATTTTATTTACGTTCGTCATACCAAAAATGCGTGCCTAGATTTACTTAAATCAACATGCGTTACATTAGAACGTGGTATTTTAAGAAATGTTGTATTTGTGTATGATGGCTTTCTTGTAGGTGCATATCCTTAGAACAGCGCGCACATTTCTCCCAATTTACTTTATCCAGATGAAAAATCCTCTTAGAAACTGTAGCTTAAAGAAAGCCCTATTTTACCTCTGATTGTTTGTTTCCGTGCGTGCAAATTATGAAAAATCGCAATTCCATTATAAAGCTTCATCTCCCCCTCCTCTGTGAAAGTGGTTTGTGGTTAAGCGGACAAAATAATGTTTAAAAAAAAAACGATTTCTATTTACATGCTTGTATATAAAATAGAGAAGGTTGACTCGGTTTTAAATAAAAGTTCCAATTGTAATACAATGTTTCTAAACTTGTTGCATTGTTCTGTACTGTCTGGTTGGTCGTTGGTGTTCTTTTACTCTTTCTTTCCTTTCATTTCTCCGAAAAATGGTTTAGCCAGGCGATGGGGAACATTTTACAAGGACGCCCTTTGAGACAGTTTACAAGCCTGAAAAGAATTAAATCAAAGAGTGCGTTTAAAATTAACTGCCATGAATCACATTTTCCAAAGATGACAACTAACTCGCTGAAAATGAGCAAGACATTTAAACGTTCTTAATCTTAATAGGGAGTATGTGAGCAGTAAAATTTTCAAATTTTCCATGTCTTGGATAAACAATAACAATTGTTGTTTCGTGGCAACTCACAAAATGGGTGCAATGAAATGACCACCATGTCCTCCGAATGCCGCTTTGGGACCACCACTGCTAGTGACCTCTTCCGTTGATGGTATCTGGAGGTTTCTCCTCATTGCGAGTTCGCCCTTCAACTACCTTTGCTATTTGCCCCCCTGGGGCGAGCTGGCGAAGGTGGAAGGGGATCAAACTTGTTTTAATTCAGGGTGCAAACTCGCGCAAAGGTAGTAAGGCGCGAACTTGCAATAGAGCGAACCGTTATCAACTATAATAAGGAAATTGTTGAAGTCCATATGGATATTGGCAAAGTTATTTCAGTGTTTGCGTTTTCGTGGACAGGATAAGTATGTTCCATTTGCACAAGGTATATATTTGTATTTCTGTTAGAACCTGGTTTCTACAATTTGCCTGCGTTCCACAAAAAACCAAAGAGACAAATAAGCAAGCGAGTTTTACGTACAAAATTGAAAAGGCCCAATTGCCCGGTCTGCTGGCAAGGGTAACCCTGTTTGCCGGGGTCGCAATTTGCTATGTAAATGTCTCCGGTTGTAAAAATTTTATGTCAACGCAAGCTATTTTTCGACCACAGTTAGCCGGGTTACCTCACCTACCTGGGATCCCCCAGCTTATTTTGGTTTGCTAAGAATTCGGACACAACCGGACACAAACCTGATGGGCTTGGTAACCTATCGATCAAGCCAGCGAGTGGTTACCAAGCATAGCTCTCTCTCTCAACCACGCGGTCGCTAGATAACAACACAGCCTTTTATAGTGTAAACTTGTAAATCTTTTGGTGATCAGATCATGTCTTTTCGTGGCCGAGGAGGGGGCCGTGGTGGTGGCGGTCGAGGTGGCCGTGGCGGTTTTCGAGGCGGAGGTCGTGGCGGTGGAAGGGGAGGTTTTCAGCAGAGAGATTTTGGGCCTCCCGATTATGTTACAGGTAATGGTAGACCTTACTCCTTGGTTAGAAAATTATTTTCTGAGCGCTTACTCTACTTAGTAAGCTGTATCGCTGGTTCATATACCAGCTATAACTAGACTAGTATGAGTTACTTAGATCAGAGTTCACTCTAGTGAACCGAAGTTCTACAAACACTCGTTTGCAATTCTTAGACGTCTGATAGATTGCAGTGGATTTCAAATTTAATCGATCATAAAGGAAAATAAAACTTCTCCAGCAAGCAATCATCTGTAGAAGCTGTAATTACATAGAATTGTATTTATGCACTTGTGCTTGGCCACTACGTGTAAAAGTAGGATGATTTTCACTTAAGCCTTATCCTAAAATGATGGGAGGCATTTCAGCCAAATGAATTAAGTGTATGAACAAGTCAAGTTTCACATTCAGCTTGGCATGACGTGGCCTTCATAGTATTAGGGAACCAGGCCTGGGTTGTTTGAAGAGTGGATAATGCTATCCACGGAATAAATCTCTTTCCAGTGGATAGCACAGTATGTTTTTTTAACACTTATCCACTGGATCATCATTTGTCCTTAGGATAGTATCATCTGCCCTTGAAGCAACTGGGTTCAGGCTCCAGTTGTTCAAAGGTTGGATATTGCTTTCCACTGGATAAAATTATCTGTGGTGGATAATGCTATATGGTGTGGTATCACTATTCTGCCAGCGATTTATCAGTTAGATAGCATTATCCGGCCTCTAAGCAACTGGGTCCAGAAGGTTTCCTACTCCTCTTGGAAGACATCTGGGGAGGGGTTACTTGGGTTGATTTTTGCTGGGTACGTGCAGCTGGCCTCTCAGAACCTGTATCCCATCGTAGTCTGATTTCTGGCCAATTGAAGACCCTGTCTTAGTCACTTTTGGGCAAATGTAACTTTAGTGATCCCAACTTGGTCACTTTGGTAATAACTTTGTAACCCCAATTCTTCCCATTTCAAATCCATACCCTCTAAATCCTAAAAATTTGCTACCCCATTCTAATTGCTCTGTTTCAAATGCAACCCCATTATAGTCGATACAGTTGTGGTAAATGTGACGTTATCCTGAGGGACATCTCCATTAGTCAATTACAATTAAATAATCCCCCTGGAGAAGGGATGCAGCTTCCCTCGTCTCCCTTAAAAGCATCTGCATTTGAACAGGCATCTTCCACCTTTTAATTGTGGTACCTATGATCACTCCTTAGTGAGAGAGAGACATTATGAGGGTTAAATTACTCTCTGAAGAACACAGCAGAATGATGCACGAGGGCTCAAACATGGAACTCTCAATAAAGGGGTTAACTCTAAAGTTCCCAGAAGTGATTAACATGTAATTTCTCCCCATGATATCTTTGTAATATCCAGCAACTAGTAATGAGAATACTCCAATGTATCAAGTGAAAGTTGTTATTTTGATCTAACACCAAATTCCTGCAACAAATTAGTAAGGAAATGTGTAGCAGCTAAAGGGGAGAAAGAATAATCAGATCTTGGGAGTTAAAGGGTTTAATAAGTGCATTGACCCCAAAAACCATCCTTCTCCTACACGACAACAGAATGGATTCAATTTCAATTTTTTTCAATTTTGCTTGATAACTAAGATATTGTTTTAATTTTTCGCAGAGCTTGGACATGTGCTCCACACTTGTGAAGGAGATTTAGTTTGTAAATGTACAAATGAGAAGATTCCATACTTTAATGCTCCAGTTTACTTAGAAAACAAGTCACAGATCGGCAAAGTAGATGACATATTTGGTCCAATGACAGAATTTGTATCCTTGACCTAATTGCATAAAAATAGTGATGCTTCATCTCTTTAGCATGCATCACCTTAAAAAATTTTAAAGTTTCCAACAATGTAAGCCATAACCCCATAGCAGTCAAGTAAGAAAGACTGATACAAGTAAATAAACAGAATCACTGCCTCGGAGAACCCTTTACACCCTAACATCAGTATGCATATTCTCCATACTGTTCTCTATACATTTCCTAAGGTGCTGACAAGGAGAATTTGTTTAACAATACAGAGCTTCTATTGTTGGTGATCATTTCCTTTTTTCTTGTGACCTTTATGTGTGATTTGGGGGTGATTTTGTGAGGAGAAATTAGATGCTAGTCACTCTCAGGGGCTAAACAGTTAAGCAGTGATTCTCCTAGGTAAGCTGCAATTTAGGAAATTGCAGGGAAGAAGCCAGATTCAGGCTTGGACAGGATTTAAACCTGTGCCTCCCAGATACTAGTTGGGTGCTACAACTAACTGAGCTATGAAGCCACATCTTGAGAGTGAGGCACATCTCAGATGGTTCTTCTATCCCATGAAGGAATCTGATTAGAATATTTATACTGAAATAAATTTCATTTGACCTGTGGATAAGATGGGCTGCAATTCAAGCAATTTCGAAAAAAAACATAATTTTATTTTTATTTTCCGTGCTATTCAGAAATACATGGCATTTATTCGTTGGGATAGTTTCTTCTCTATCTCACAGTTTTAAATTTGTATCATTGAAAGTGTTGGAACTCCTCATATAGATGAATAGAGCTATTACAAAAAGAAATTTCATTTGAGAGTTTTTCTTAACTATGTGTTTGTTATATAGTATTTCTCAGTGAAGGTTAACACAGATATGAAAGCTTCCTCATTTAAAAAAGATCAAAAGGTAAGGAATGTTAAATAGAGGGTTCAGTTCTTTGCCAAGAGTTAACTTTTGCCGCTTGATCAAGAAAAAAAGGTTCCTGTGACTTGTAATCAAAAATATAATGGAACCCTGATTACTCAATCTAATATAATAATTTATTTCATTTTTATGATGTTATCACATTCCTATCAGCGAAGATTAAGGATGGGGATGTGTCGATCAGCTCTGTTCTGACACCTAGACATTTATGGACCAATGTTTTTACTTAAAGTATGATCAAGTTATTAGGGTAAATTTGAGTAAAGGGAAAGTAAAATGAGTTCGAGTTTAGAGGGGGATTTGAGTTAGCTGATTGTAAATGACTGAAAAAAACAGAGTCCGAAATCCGAAGGAAATTGGATCTTGTTTGAGTTAGTGGGGGGTTTAAATTTACTTGGAATGAGTAAGTGGGGTTCTACAGAATATTTTTTCAATTTTACTTCTGCTTCTTTTTAGTTCTTTATCGATCCTATGAAACTGCTACCTCTTGCCAGATTTCTCCCTAAACCTCCTGGCCAGAAAGGTATGTTATCTTCTATGACACATATGGCATTCAATTGATTTATAACGCATCACTGAGGTGCAAAATTTGAATTTTTTTTTAAAAGAAGTGTCCTGTTTTAAATTAGTTGTTGGGGCAGGACACTCTGTTAGTGCACATTAGTTAAGGAAGAATTATGGGGTTTTTTTAGTGTTCATGAAATGGGAGATATGACAGCCTAATGCTTTGTGTACTGGACTCCAGTCAAGAGTTCTGCATGCAAGAACTGGCTGGGTCAGTGTTCTTCGGCAAAACACTTACCTTCCACTTTGCCTCTTGCCGGCCAGGAGTATAAATGAGTGCTGATGAATTGTCAGGGAAGCCGCATCAAATTGATGGGGGTAACTAGCATCCCTTCTTGAGGGGAGTAGTGATACTCTTAGTCACTTCATGTGAAAGAAACCAGGATAAGCTCCAGCTGGATGAGCTACTGGGCTTGAGTAAGGACTTTACTTTAGAATACTTGCAGTAGAAAGGATATTGAGCCTCAAGGGAAGTTGTGTTTTGTCAGTTACATTGAGATATGGATCAATCCATGTCCATCTTTGTTGTAGTCTTATTTTGACTAGCATTATTTGTGATTTCCCCCTTCTAGGACCCCCAGGTGGTGTTGGAGGTAGAGGAAGAGGTAAGTCAGACTCACTTTCATTACATAATGACTTTCTGTTTATGTCAGTTGTGTTAATTTTTCTGCTGCTTAAACCTTTGTTTTTGTTTTGAAATTTCAGGAGGCAGAGGAGGTCGAGGTGGTGGACGTGGTAGAGGAGGTGGTGGTGGCTTTCGCGGAGGTGGCAGAGGTGGTGGAAGAGGTGGAGGAAGAGGTGGAGGAGGACGAGGTTTCAGGGGTGGTGGTGGAGGTTTTAGAGGTAATGGCTACTGCATTTAGAACAGGAATAGAAGAAAAAGTGAATGTTTGAAATCGTTTAGCTACTCAGATCTTGTTTGTTATTCACTTACGAAAATTACTGTCCTCTAGAAGAAATTGCATTGAAAATTTAGTAGACACACATTTCATTTCTTCTTGTAGGTCGTGGAAGATGAAGAGGAAACAAAGAATTGTGAAGTACTTTGGCACAGTTTAATTTATCAAATGTATATATCTGTTTGGGTATCATTATCCAGAATCCATATTACAGTTTGAGACCCCTGTGCAGATACATCTTAACTTGAACACTGAAAATTACTATCGTTCATCTTCCTTGTTGTTGTGTCTTCCGTATGCTGTCATTACACTTGGTTATGTCATAGGATAATTTTTATCTAATTTTTTAAATGAACAGTTAGGTGGCTGCTACATCAGTACAAGAAGTTGTGATCAGCTTTATACTGAACAACAAATACAAATCATTTTGTGCATTGCAATATATCTGCATCTCACGTTTTTTAGGCGGTCATAAAAAAAAACCTTCTGAGGACTGAGGGGCGTATGGTAGTGGAGGTTCATAAAAGCTCACTACTCCCCCTTACCTCATTAAAAAAAAACGTTCCTTGACAAAAAATGTGATTTGAGGTTGTCTCAGTTCAAAGGTTTCCCTCGTAATCATCTGATTGGAACAAGAATGGTGATTAAGTTAGATTTAAGGATTTGGACAAATAGCTGCATTGTACACTGATCAAAGACTTTACATCGCTTTTTGTTAGTGACCTTTGGACCCCCAACTCAGCCGTTAAATGGAAAAAAAATTTAAAAAAAGACATATTTTTGGTTTTTAAACAGAAACTCTTGCGCTTTTTTTTTTAACTGTAACATGGAATGTTAAGTAGTATTTGTTAAAAGAAGCATGATAAACCAGTTCTCCTTTTTTATAATTTCATAGCTATTTTAATACAGCACATTTGGATGGAACACCTTAGAATTAAACATAGCAGCCAAGAAACCGACAAAAACTCAAAGTAAACATTAGCGCAATGTATGCATGGCGGGAAAACTCGAGTGGCGATTGGTAATAGTTTTTCACCTGATTGGTTGAGAGGGTAAAGTGAGTTTTTTTTTTACACCAGTCACAGACCAGAGTAAAGTGTTGTATAACCAAAACCAAAGTTATCACAACAGCCAATCAGAGGAGAGAAAATTATCACAAGGCGCCAAAGTGCAAAAGTCAAAACAAGCAAAGAGTTCAAAGTGCAACATGAACGGTTGACAGGGTGGTATGAGATTTTTGGGCCAATCACAAAGCGAAGTAAAGCAAAATTAAACAAATCCCGGACTTTGAAAATTGCGCTTAAGCAGTGGATTACTTCCAACACTCAAATGTAATTTACATTAAACGGGCTGTCTCAAGAGCTATCTTTTCACTATGTGCTCGTTCTTGTATGGGAGGGGTACCAGATTATAGTCATGCCTTATGCGGTTCTTCAAATCGCGCCATTGGTGCAGCGGCTTCGGTTTTGGGGGAATAAGTCGGTAGTATGTCCTGCCTGTAGTGGTTTGACAAATATCTGGAAGCCACAGAGTATCGCGTGAGTGTATCTCGCGAGTAGCTGCGCGCGTGTCCTCACGCTTGCTTCCGCGGGTCCCGGCCCTAGTTCCAGTCATTTCGTCGTCTTCCGGCTGGTTCTTTCTCGACTTCTGTTTCTTGCCCAGATCCTGCAAGTTAAAAAAAGAGGCTTCTCTTTCAAACGCTCAATCGATATTTCTGAATCCGTATATATTCTTTCAGAACGGTGGTGGGATTTCTGGTCGGCGCTCTTATCAACTTGGTAATTTCGATTAACTCTCCTTTACCAATCAATTTGGCGCCGTCGTCTTAGATACGGGATGTTGATAGTATGATTTCCTTGCAATTTAAGTTTGCGGCTGGAACGTGATTTTTAGAAAGCTGAATACTGTGCTTGGACAAGTAACGGTATTTCTTAAAGTTAGTGTCCTTCTTTTACAGCTTCTGTGCAATTTATTCCAGTTTGGCCCATTATTTCTCTGCCTTGTTTGGATTTGGTAAACATTGACATTTTAAAATGGAACTTTTGTTTGCTGTTGCGTAACATTTAAGACCAAATCTGGTAAACAGAATAACATCTCTGCTAAATAAAATGGCATCCCCTGAGTTGTCTTCAAACTGAGAAAAAAATTTTGCTTTTTACAATGAACAAAATTACCAGACCCCGAAATCGTAAAGTGAAATTTAGACTCACTTGTCGTGTGTATTTTTCTTTGAGGCGTTCCAAAGCAAGATGTTTCCTTTCGATCACGCGCTGTCGTCTTTGGGCTTCCTGGTGGTAGGCTTCATGATACATTTTCAAGCTTCAAATTTACTGCAGCACTCAGAAAAAAGTCCAACGTGGCCCCTTTAGTGAGCAGAATGAACGATTGCAGTCGGAAATCCAAATGTGTGACCAAAAAGATCTTATTAACACGTTGTTTAAATTTGATTGTCTTTTTAGTTGTTGCTTCAAGGGTGTAAGAGAGCGCTCTCTTGGGACAGTATTGTTTGGTTTGTGTGTTGGGAAATGACAATCAACAGAAGGGTAAACACACTTCAAATGAGTTCATAATTGCAAATGTGTAAACACTTAACGATCGCGATGTCACCTAGACCGCGAAACTTTTCGCTGTTACAGATTTCATCATCTTCTCGTAAGTGTGCGAACGTGCGCGCGACAAATTTGAATTAAAATGAGCTTGTATGCATCTGGAATAAAGAGAAAGCTCTTTTGATTAAAACAAAGGCTGTTTGCCCGCAAGATGATGGCTTTGTCTGTGAAATTTATCAAACGGGTTTCTGTAAGCAGAGGATTTAATTTCCTTTCTGAAGAGAGCTCTAAATGTCTTTAATGTCCATTGTGTGGCATTCTTCGGATAGCGGATGGGCCCCGAGAGATTTAGCTGGAGGAACAGGCTAGACCTGAAACGTCATCGAAGTTTTGTCGCTTTGTGAACCCGCGTGATTGTGCAAACATCTGCCGAGGCGATTGGATTCCAAGTTGTAGTGTATTGATTATACATGTACCTATCTTAATTATTGACAACAACCTTAGTATGGGTTCTAAGGTGAGCACTTTGTACTTAATTCAGTAAATGTACTACTCGCAGTAATCCTACTGTACTGGAAATACCTGCATGCTGTAAAATTACTATATGTCAGTAAACTCTTATACTTGTATATGTGTAACGTGTTCATCAATAAAGTTCAGTTAGCCTTTGGCAATGAAGAAGGAATAGTCTCTCTATGTCTGAATGACGACACTACACAAGTGAAGATGATCGCTTTTCATCAGGAAGCTCAGAGAAAACAACGCGTCGTAGACAGAAAACACGAAGCACTTGAAAAGTTGAGAAAGCGCAGGGTGAGAAATAAAGCTTCGTAGTGACAGTAGCCATTGGAAGGGTTTTAAGAATTGTGCTTCTCCTGTACCAGCTATCACCCATGTTACCCCCTTCTGCACAAAGCTGTTTACTACGTTCTTGAGGCAAGCTCTTTCCAAACATCTTTAAGAGTTCTTGTTGTAATGTCAACGTTATGGATTTTAAAATTCATCACTTCGTTAGTTCTAGTATTGATAAAAGTGACCCAAAAAAGGAAAGGAAGATGCTTTTATTGAAATATCTGATCTTTACAATGTTTTCGTAAATTCTTCTTATCTTCGATAGGATATGCAATATTCATAATTTTTAAGTTAAGCTGTCTCTTCTTTGTAACGAAATACGGTTTTTTTCGGTTTTTTTCTCCTTTCATAATTCTGGTTGCCTAGGATTTTATTGTTTACTTCAATTCTCAGACAAATGCAAATTTAATCCGCGCGACAAAGTTCAACAAAAGATGATAATTCACTGATTATGTTTTTACAGTTTTCACAGTCCAAATTATTCTCTGAAAAAAATCATGTAACGCTCTCAGAATCGATTTTTTTTGTTTTCCGCATGACTTTGATGAACTTTTGGAATAATTTAAAACAATTCTCTATCCTTGTTATCCTTGGATGAGGGATTTGTCATGATTTATCACCAGGGGGAGGCAGGAGTCGGACTTTGGAGGGATCCATGATTTTCAGGGGAAACGGAGATGGAATCACTCTTCACCAACAGAGTATAAAATGGGAGACTATAGAAAATTGACTGCCAACTGCCAATGAGAGAGGATCATAGGATTATAACAGAACCTTATGAGGTGGCTCTGGTCAATTTCATCGTGCGTGACACGACCAAAACGTGCGTGACACAACCAAACTCCTCCCACCCACCCCTCCCCACTGCGATAAATAATAATCAGTCTTTAAATGGTTTTATTTCCTGCCCACGACCTTGACAGACAAAGCCGAAAGGCGGAGAACTTTCAGCATTACATACCGCACAGCTCTTGAAGCAAATTGCATGCTTTTATAAGGCTGCTACAACCACATAACGGCACTCGAAGAGTGTCCTTGATGCAGGAGAGTCTAGTCCGCACTTTGATTCGAAAAACACAAATTTTTGTTATTACACAATGACCTAAGTAAGCTAAGAAATTTTCAAACAAGTTAATTTCAATTACCTCATATTAATAAGTAACATGCGATCTTGTCGTTACAACTAATTTTGGCGTCAGACAAGAGGTCTGACGGGGAGGGGGAACCAGAGTTTCCGGACCCTCTGGGTCCACTACCGCCATGAGTTGCGACTATGGGCGCGTATGCGACGAATTGGTAGCATTCTCTGAAACTGCCCACCCTAATATCAAATTAAATAGATGAAATGAAATAAACAATATGTTATATAGATACTGTAGTATTAATGGTACAATAGTGCGATCAATTAGTTACTTCTAGCCTTAATTATGCCATTCGAAGCAAATTTCTTAGAAAAAATTATGTTGTGCGCTCAGTCATTGCAGTTTTTTTGGCGAATGAGGATAAATTTGGTGCGTTACGCATTGGTGAGTACATTTGCGTTCTGTCGCCATAGACAACGACAACTGTTCAATTCCTTGGCAAGTGCGCTTGATAAAGAAACCAGAAAGTTACTCACATGTTACTAATGAAAGATTTTCGAACGAAACTTTTCTGAAGTGGAATTCCACTTAAATCCTGAACTGTCTCCAAACTAAGAGTCCTTGTGAAGTCTCACAATGACTACTTTCCTCGCCCAAAAGACTTAAATTTTTCCATCTGCATTGTCAGTGAAATCTTGTTAAGAAAATCTAACTAAAACCTATGGCTGAAATCAAAGTATTATGTTAGATACGTCAGTGTCTTTGGTTTCTCGATACTTGATCTAGAAAAAGGTACGCGTCGTGCTTGTAAGTGGACAGTGTAAGAAGAAAGTGTACCCATCATACCTGTTAGTGGACAGTGTCTGGTGCTGGGTTCCTAACAGCGTACGCGTCATGCCTGTGTAATTGGACAGTGCGCATCAGGAGCGCGCAAACCTACTTGTCGTGCATTTCGCTAAGATAACTTTTTTTTTGGTATGAAAACGTATAACCGATGACTTTTTTGCTTCTCAAATTTTGTCATAGGTTTGATAAATTGGTAATGGGACTTCGTCTCGTACAATTCTGTCTGTAATCATACTTGTAATTAACAAATCAGACACCCGCTTCGAGGTCGTCCGATTTGTTGATCCCTCGTATGATTACAGACCAAATTGGATTCCACTCAGTACAATTACTGTGACGCCATCTTACGTCAGTGGATTACAACTGATAACAATCAAATTTGACGTCAGAAAGGCTGAGGGGCTTAGTGAGACGTTGCTTTCAACCTTTCACTTGCCAAAGGATTGTATGGTTTAATACCGAGGCTTGTCATTCAAGTTTCCCAGAAATAAAAGCGGCTGCTATAATTGTCGGCGTATTCAAAGTATTAATCGTGCAGGGCAGTTGATCCTATTCATAAACGAAATGGCAGAGGCTTATCACAACGAAGCTTTACGAAAACAAAGGATTGTCGATAAAATGCACGCAGCGTTGGCAAGGATTGAGTATGGACAGGTGAGATTGGTATAGAATAGTATAGTACAAAAACAATCGTAATTTTATGAAAATGATTCGAAGCAGTTTCTTGTTATTAATATGTATCTAAGAACGGTCAAATTCAGTCCAGACATCGACAGTCAGAATGCATCCGTTAATAATTACGGTATGAATGGTTAGCGTGCTCGAGGAAAATTTGCGAAAAATTAAACAGGTGTTCGAATGAAAGGGAAAACCCTTTGTATCCCAGAATGCTTTGCGATGAGCATTCGCCCTTAGATACCAAAGAAGCAACAAATTCTTGGCACACGGGAAGTGTTTATACTCTGAAATAGCTTCACGAATTGAGGATAACATCGCAGATATCTCTTCATAAACGCCAAATGGCTGAAGCATACCATAAAGAAGCCTTACGAAAGCAAAGAATCATCGACAAAAAGAATGCAGCATTAGCAAGAATTGCCGTTCGACAGGTTTGAAGTTCTTCGCCTTTTGCCCGGCATGTTTTGTGTTTGCGAGTAGGAAATTATTCACGCTGCTATTTGACGGTTGTTGAACTGTCGAACATTTCTATTAAATGATAAGCTAGTATCTTAGAATTCTAGTCGATAATTAAATATATTCAGAAAGGCTCACTATTCTGCGTTGAACTCTTAAGCTGAACTTCATTGAAATTCGAGTAGTTTGGTAATTAGCTGTTTGCACAAACTACGAGCGGAATGTTTTAATAGCTTTGAGTCGCAGAGAATGATTTTGTTGTTGTATTTGATCCAGGAAATAGCCTTCCAATAGTGCAGCTTTTTAGAGTGAAATAATGTTCAAGAAATTTTGTACGCTTCAAATTTAGCCCAGCTGTATACAGTTGTAATGCCCGAGGCAATATGGAGACAGGCGACGTAACCGAGCTTGAATTTTGATTACAAACGGGAATTTTATTTTGTTTTTAAAATACTTTGACGACATCGACTCTGAAAGTGATTTATTCAAAGATGAGCACAGCTATCACTGATAAAGGACTATGACGATTTTAATTTGGGACATTTATTTTTCTAACAAAGCATTTACTCTACTTTCCTTGGCGTAGATTGATTAATTATTTTTTAAGGGATCCTTACGCACAAAAAAACCTTGTATCTCGCTTGAGTCTCTAGCCAGCTGTTGTACTCACAGGTGCTGAGGTTAACTGGGTGCTTGGAGAAGGTTTGAACAATGAAGGAGGTGATACCCTGGTTAAGAAGGTATTTTTTTAGTTGGGTGTAACTGTTCTGAGGCAGGACAGCAACTCACTAGCCATCCGTGCACTTGTTACTTAGGCGTGGAGAACCTAAGTATTGTGCTCATCAACCTTTATAACACTGGGTTTCTTTCTCTCTTCATCTCTCATACACTCATGCCACTTCTTTTCCTTTACCCAGATATTTATGCTTTTTCTTTTATTCCAGCAACTGGAAGATGACAGAAGAAGGTCTGAAGAACAAAGACACCGACATGAAATGGCTGAGAGGGAGCATGAAAAGGCAAGGAAGAGAGAGGAATACTTAAGCAGTATGGGCAGAACTGGCAGGAGTACACAGGGAGTGATCAATGCCAATTTTGTCCACATGCCTGAAGAAAAGAAGAATAAAATTTGCCAGAAAGATCTACGTCACCAGGAAAGAGTATTGCGTGACAGTTGCCTTGTGATGGGTAGAGTGAATGAGTATTTTCTAGCATGACAAAAACTGGTTGCTCACAGCATACATGACTAAACTGAAATAACATGTTTTACTCTTGATTAGCTGTGTTACAGTTTGGGCCCTGGATGTTTTCCATCTATGTCAGCATTCATCATCCTTGAATTTTCTGTTTGTTATTGTTTTTGTCTGTGTGGTAATTTGGGCATCTCACCCCTTAATCTTTTTTGGATGAAGCAAATATTTAGCACGTAAAAAAAGATTCCAATTACTGTGACATTTCAAATCTGGTAACTTTTATCCTCACAAGATAGGAAATTGTAAGATTTTTGTCTTTCTGTGGCAAATAATTATGACAAGTTCAGATTGTAAAAAGTAATTTTGAAACCTTGTTATCACAATGTGCAATTTTGTTTACACATAATTTGATACCAAAATTATCTCATCACTTTATTGTCAGAATAAGCAGGAAATGTCCAAAGTACAATCCATCTAACACTTCAGAGAAACTCACATTTCAGGTCGAAGGTTATAGAGCTGATCATGTACAATATCCCACCCTTAAAAATTCTTGACTCAAAACAAACCCTTCAAAGGATAATTAAGCAATTCAAGGTTTAGTGAGAGTTCGGTGAGTTCTGAAAATCTATAGTGATTTTAAATACTCGTGTAGCTGTACATTTGTCAGATAGTGGTGCACAGATATGATATCCTTCTTGCATGCATGCATCAAGGTATTGTATGTAAGACCAATGTGACTAATGCAGGATATAGCCTTTGACCTGTGTGCAAATAAAACATTTTTCACATGTCTACACTGTATCATATATGCTCTGGCTTTCAACTCTTTTGCTCTGACAAAGAGCTAACCTTCAAAATGTTAGGTTTAGAAACTGTTTAGGTGGCCAATTGACATCACCAACCCAGTTGAAAAAACCAAATTATTTTGTAACTCCCCTGCCCCCCCCCCCCCCTTGATGCAGCAACAAAGTTTCTTTAGAAAACTAATTACCCTTCTGCCTTGACTTTTTGGTTAATTTTATTGACTGTGTAGTTCTCTTTATTACCTGTGGAAATCTTTTTTCAGTAAAAATGTTAATCACAATGCAGTTTTGCATAATGGAAACAGAAAATTTGAAATGAAAATGGTTGATAAGCCTTCCCCTTTTTTTTCACTAATTTAAAGGTAAAAAAAAAATTTAAGACTACCACACAGCCTGTCCTCCGTCTGCATGCATTTTCCCTTCTTTGACGCTTTGTTTGTTTTCTAAAAGAGATCTGGGGCTCGACAAGAGTCACTATTTCAGAAATGGTGAATTACTGCTGGAGAAGAATATTCCTGTAACACAAATTTGCACTAATCACCGATTCTTTGTTCAAACAAAACTCTACCTACCGGACCCCGCTTGGATTCGGTCGCTTTGCTCTTTCATGCATAATATTGCGTAACCTTTGGCTCATCTCGTGGTTTTGTGTTCTTTTGTTGTTGTAGGGTAATACTTATTGGTTGAAACAGCGAACGAAGTATCCCTCGGGATGCATTTTATGGCCCTTACTAGAACCAAATATTAGATCTAGCGCTTGGATCTTGAATATTGTCTCGGGTTGAACAGCGTAAAGCTACGAGTTAACCTTTGATCATGAGTAATACTACGACAAGTGAAACTACAAAACTGCACAAAGAACTCGAGACCGAGAAAGCCAACGAAGAACTGGAGTCAATCATGGTTGTTTATAATGGCAAACAACACACAGTGAAGTTTCCAATCAACGCCAACGCAAAAGTTATCAGTCAAAGTATCAAGAAAGTAACAGGAGTGAAAGGGTCGTTTTACGTGCATTTTGGCGAAAAGACAAACAACTATTTACACTCTTCAAGCGTGACTAGTGGAAATCTCGCTAAACTTGCAGGGCAGCCTCTCGAGCTTAGAGGTGGAAACGGTAAGTTCAAGTTTTCGTGACTGAGTTTGTCTGTGTTTAAAGCTCCGGTTTGGAATACGAAAGTGCGGTTTGAGTTTATTTAACAATGGGACAGTGATTGCCAATATTTTGATACTCGGCGAAGTACTTTGGACTTTGATTACTTTCCATCCTTACACGAATATTTTTTCCTCTGGTTATTCGTTTTAAGCAAATCACATATAACTTTGATTCACTTTCTTTATTTTTATGGGCCCCTGTCACCTCTCGTAAGTTTGTTTGCCCTCCTAACGACTAAGCGGACATCTACGATCTACTTCAATCTACTGTAATATTGAGGACTGGGTGTTGGCGAAGCGTTTAAACGTGACGCGCGATTAAGCTAAAAATTATTACGTGACGCATCGATTTTGTAAAAAGACAAGTAAAGTGAAGTTTAAACTTTTTCTCTTTAAATTCGTGAAGCTTGGAACTCTGTTTTAAGTACACGTGACGTGTGAGTTTGGCTAAAAATTGGAGCCCCCCTCCCCTCCCCCCCTTCCACCGTCCTCTTTTGCTTCCCTCATTGAAAGTAGCTCAAAATTGGTTTACATCGTTTTAACTACTTTCAGTTTTTTTTCTGGACAGTGTTAAATAATTGTTGATACTTAGCAAGTATTCACTGAAGTGGAGGTGGCTAGTTGTGGATATTTACCAAGCTACAAAGGAGAGAAGTGAATATCCACTGATAGCCACCAGCACTGAGGTGAGTAGATGTTTTAGTACATACTAAAACAGTGAGATAGCACAGCACAAAGAGATTACTTAAACTTGTTTTTTCCTGCAGTGATTATAATGTTTTAGGTTGCAAACCTGGCACATAGTCTCTTGGAGTTGAAGAGTAAAGGTTATTCAGAGTTTGAGTACCCAATCAGAGTGTGCCTTTAATGTTATTCACTATTTCTGGTGAATACTGAACAGTTTTATCCAAGATTATTCAAGGTGGTTTTTAAATTATGTTGGCTTGAGAATGAGTATCCTCAGAAAATACATATACAAGCTGTAGAAATAATTGGTATAAAAATTAACCGTTAACAGATTAAAATCAAGCTTAGCATTTTCCTCCATGTTATTCACAGAAACTACTGACCATGAAACAAGTATTGTATTTACATTGCACCCTCTTGGGATTCAAGCTCTCCGTGCCACTACAACACAGTATGCTCAACTCTAGAGAACATCTTTTAGACCTAATAGCTTCCAAAATTTAATTCTGAGGTATGAAGTTGAAAACATTTTGAAACTTCGATTGTTTACTTCTAACAGCAATGTCACAGATTTAACCTTCTGCACCCTAACATTATTATGTATATTCTCCATACTGTTCTCTATACATTTTCTAGGTTCTAACAAGGAGAATTTGTAAAAACACTAAGAGCCTCATTAGTTGCTGATCATTTCCTTTATTCTCATGACTGAAACATTTTATTCAGGGATGATATTGTAAGGAGAAATTAGAACCTTGTCTCTGTTAAGGATTAAAGGGTTAATGTAACAGTTAACAATCAAATCAGTTATTTATTATTAGGAAGCTTTACTAAATTACTGATTACTAAATTTTTTTTACATCACCAGCATTTAACAAAGGAGGTGATTCTATATGGTACTATAACAGTCAAGCCCTCAAACCTGAAGTTACGAAAAAGTGCAGGGAGATGGAAATTGTACCATTTGATAACCCTCCTTAACTACTGTCATCAAAAGACTGTGGAGTAAATGATCAATAGGTTATAAGGCGTGCAGATATTGACCTTCTCTCGTCTGATTCATTTACAACAAATACCATAGTGTGAAGACGTGTGCTTTTGGAAGCATTCAAGTGTGGTTGTTCTCGTGAAGTTTGTTGAGTGATACAAAGACTGACAGAGAAAGCTAAGAAAAGTCAGCAGTTAATGAAAACATCACCTGAATACAGTTAATTATAACTGGAAATAAACAGTCATGAAATAAACCAAATTAACCCTTCAACTTCCAAGATCTGATTGTCAATTCTCCCCTCTAACTGACTCACAATTCCTTGTAAATAAGTTATGAGAATTTGGTGTTAGCTCAAGATAACAACTTCTTCCTGATAATTTTGAGTATTCTCATTACCTAATGGCCAGATAATGTACAGATATCATAGGGAGAAGTTACAAGTCAATCAATTCTGGGAGTTAACCCTTTCACTCCCATGAGTGACCAGGACAGAATTTCTCCTTACAATATCAATACAATATCAAGCAGGCAGGTGATGAGAATTGAGAAGAATATCAATCATGGGATTATTAGTTGATCCAATACCAAATTCTCTGAACTAACATCTTAAGAATTGTATGGCAGATAGTAAGGAGAATTACTAATTAGATCTTGGGAGTGAAAGGGTTAAAGGGTTAAAAAATAGAAGCCATTTTGCCATGACTCTGTGTTGCAAGAGATCACAGATGACATCAAAATAAAGCAAGAACTAAAAAGTGGCACACAAGGTGCAGCTATGTGTCACAAAATGAAATGTTCTAACTACATTTTAATGTTGTTTGTGATTTATTACTGTGCAGACCCACAGCAACATGGATTCTACTTGTTTTATACATTAAGAAGCAAAATGTCGTCAATTCTGACATCATATATGGACCTCTCTTTCAGTAGATCATAACTAAAAACTTATCAAAATGCATATATAATTCAGCTTATCACATAATTTTAATGATATAATTCTTTGTATCAAGTTGTGTGAATTAATTGAAAGATGCAGTGTGTCTGAGTGAACACACACAGGGACAAATTTAATGAAACTGAATTTTGTTTGTGAGGGGATGTGGTGAATAAAAGACAGTAGAAGACTTGGCAGTCATTGTTGTCTAATTAAAAAATACTGCATTTCCTTGAATAAGTACCCACCCCCTTGGACTTAATGTTAAACAAGCACCTCTTTCAAATAAGCAGTGCCCCCTCCTCCCTCACTTTCATAATAGTAGGGGCACAAGGACATCTGAGCTGTTGCTACTTCTGCTGTTATTAGAACTTTTTAAGCTTCAACTACTGTGAAATCTGTACAGGATAATCATAAGCATTGCTCTTGATTAAGTGGCCTCCTTCACAATGAAATATCAGATAAGCACTCAGCATTTCTTTGAGGAAATATGGTAGATTCCATGGTGCCATGCATCTTTTCTATAGAAGATCAACGCAATATCAAAATGTAATAACAAAAGTGGCACACATCAGGAACAGCTAGGTGTGTCACCGCATTGGAAATGTTGTGTAATCAATAGCTTCAATGCAAGAGTGCTTCTGAGGTGACTGTATTCCTCATAGGGGTGGAAGTGGCAAAAGTTGGACAAAATATTTGATTGGTAGTGGGTGACTGAGGCCTTCAAATTATGACTGTTTAATTAATAACCCTTTAACTCCCATAGGTGACCAAGACATAATTTCTCCTTACAATATCATTACAATATGAAGCAGAAATGTTATGAGAATAAAGAAAGAAATCAGTAAGGAGATTGCTGGTTGATCAGAAACCAAATTCTCAGAGGTAAAACCATGAGTTCTGTATAGCAGAAAGTAAGGAGAAGTACCAATGAGATCTTGGGAGTGAAAGGGTCACTTTAAGCACCCTAACATCAGTACTCTTATGTTAATCAAACTGTAGCAAACAGATGCAACTTAACATTGTAATAATTTGATTTAGCCCCCTCATTCCAATAAGTGCTCCTACTCCAAGAAGCTTTCCTTTTCTATTTCAATGATAGCACTAACAGTACATTCCCTACCATTACATTGCAAATTTTCACTGTATATTTGTTACTTTTACAGTTTGCACTTTTGTTCCTTATTAGATAAAATCAAAGCCTTGTTTTCCATATTGCACTGTTTCTCAAATGAAATAAGCACCCTGTCCCTAAGAAACACCCTAGGCACTAAATCAAACTTTACGTTAACTCTGTAACTAAAAGTTATACACACAAAATACCATACACAAAAGTTTCTTTATGAGTTTATTTATTAAAATTTAGTACACTATGCTGTATTACACAGTATACCATCTGTACTTTCTATCCATATGATGCTATCATTTTGTTAATCCTTCAACTCCCATGGGTGACCAAGACAGAATTTCTTCTTTAAAATATTGATGCAATATCATGCAAACAGGTGACGACAATGAAGGAAAGTATCAATTACAAGATTAGTTGATCCAGTACCAAATTCTCTGAACTCACATCATGAGAATTGCATGGCAGAAAGTAAGGAGAATGACTAATTAGCCCTTGGGAGTAAAAGGGTTAGCTCCATTCATTTGTTGGTGGGTGGCGTCATCACGTTAAATTAAAATTGGTTGGAAAAATATTAATTTTGAAACTTTACACCTTTTTCTGCCCAGAAAGACATTTCTACCTTGCTTTAAACAAGAGCTCCTATTCAACTGACAAAGTATGAATTAAGTGATAAGATTAGAGTACCTCCGACTTTCAGCCCTGTACAACTTGAATAACAATACACAAATAAATTTACTCCTACTTATATGTACCAAAAGGGTGTAAAACATTTGAACCAGTACAGTTGGTCAAGAACATGTCAATGCCCTTAAAACATTTACAAAAAAGGAAAATATTGACACAAAGTGACCTTGCACTATGAGCTTAAAGGCTGGACTTGACAGTGAATTAATAATTTACTGCCACAAGCACAGCTTCAGGTCAGCTGCAGATTTGTGGAAATTTGTGCTTAACTAACCTATGTTGACAATTTCCCTGAGATGCAAGCCAAAAAAAACTGAAACATGTACATCACCATGTGAACTAGTAACTTTCCTTGGAAACGTTAATTAAAGAGGCCAACCAATATTTTTTACTCAAAGTTTGACTTGTCAAGTTTTTAGGTTTTGTTTTTCTTTAAATTATAATCGTTTTGTAACAATGCCACCTGTTTCAGTCTGATATGTGTTACCAGATTGGAGGCTCAAATATAAGTGTTTGTCCCTGTGCTTCAAGATGGGAACAAAGTGAATGAAATGTGAATTTTGCCAACAAAAGATAGTGTTCAACACTAAATATAATATCACGCAAGTTACCCGTTTGGACCCTCCATTAAAATAATATATTTCTGTACAGGTTCATATATTACTCTTCAATGTAAGTTTATGAGTCATGAATCAATAGTATGGTGAATGAAGAAAAGACTTAAATGTGGCAAAGAAAGGACTCTCATTCCTGTCATTGGTCAGTGGAATCCCTGAATAACACTTCTATTTCATAATAATTTCATGGCTTATTTCACTATGCAATGATAGGACAACATTCAACTTTAGTAAAGTACATTGTTCAAAAGAGAAACAAGAGATTTGGTAAGAAAATGTTTAAAGTTGAGTTTGTTCCTTCAGAAGGGTATAAGAAGCAGCCAAGAGGCTTTAAGTGCCACCATTGATGGTTGTGGCACAATTAATATCAGTTACACTTCACTTGCGCAAAACCTTTGACTTCCAAGAGTGACAAGTATATGAGTTCTATTCGCATTATAATACACTTTCATGCAGGCAGGTAATGAGAGTTATCAATGAACAAACTAAGGGTTTTTGCATTGACAGAACTTTTCAGAACCAACCAGCAGAGATGTGCACTCACTATCGTTAGAAAAATAGTTTTAGGATCTCAAGTGTGAAAGAATTATGTGAAATCCTATACTCTATTCACTCCAAAGCTACATCACGTTTCACAGCTGTTTTGTCAAACAGAGACTGTTTTCTTCATTAAGTTGCTTAAAATGATGTTTGCTGACTTCAAATTAAGCACAATGAAGATAAAAGTTCATGCTTACTTGAACCCAAATAGTAAGTTTTAGTCTTTCAGTTTTCTATCGCTGGTTTTTATTTGGTTAAACCTGGTTGAACTAAACATGGGTTGGTGGAGTGAAAGGAGCACTAGTCTATCATCTCAACGAAAGGCTTTGTAGTTAAAAGTTTTTTAAGCAGTCAGTATGGCAATGCCTCGGAAGACATCAATCATTTTTTGTAGAATTTTGAAAATAGCTGCATGTGTTTACCACCTCTTATGATGCCACTCCCCTACTTCAGCATAATGTAAAGGAAAATTGTTGAGTTCCAAATAAAAACTTATTAAATGATTTGGTGTCTGGGTTTCTGTTCTCAGACCACACAAATTTTGGCGATTGCACCTTTTTGCTTTGCAGGGGATGGCTAAGAAGTGCATGAAGTCTAAAATACATGTGCCAGGCTATTGTACTGCCCATGCATTAAGTCTTTGTTTTTTTACCACATCCTTATTGCCATTGCCATTGCCATTGTGGTTTGCTTCAAAGTCTCTATCGTGACAAGAAAAGACTTTTCAAAAACCTGAGCTAAAAGTCGCCATTACAGTCATGAGGTGACTTCTTCTCAGATTGTGAAAACATCACCCACTGTAAGGGACATCTGTTCTTGTCACCACTGTTCTCACACAGACAATTAGACCACCCCATCAAATGTAACCCCATAGTTGAACCTATTTTCTTTTAGTAAATGCTCTTGTATGCTTGTTGTTAGCAACCAGTAAAGCCTTTAATTTGATCCCATTTGTTGGATATTATGAATAGAGAAAATATAACAGACACTGCTATAGTTTTACTTGACCATGTACAATAATATTTATACAAACACCAACTGGCAATGATCTTACTATTCATTTGCTAGAAAAATTAAATTCATATGATGTCTATTTACAAGATTGCTACTTTAACTCTTTTAATATACTATTTGTCTTCCAATGAGACAGGCATACTTTTCTGTTTGATTTCCTCTCATCTTGAGGCTACAAAAGAAGAAAGAGTTAAACTGAAAATATGTTAGGGCTAAGTGTTATCAAACAAGAGACTCACACTCTCCCAGGACTTACCATTGTTTGCAATTGGGAGCACTAATGCAACTCCTAATTGAGATCCTACAATGTCAACCAGCCCCCCTCCCTCCCTCACCAGCAATCTGCCCCCTTTCAAATTCCCTGACAGTAGGCTGACCTTTAGTAGAGGAAGTAAGAGAGTGGGCCCAGGAATGAGGTTGAAATTGCCCCCTTTTTGCCGAGAACATCACGTTCAACTAGAGTTTCCTCAAAAAAAGGACAGACTCAAGCCCTTTTTTCACAATACTTCTGAGAAGGGGGAAAGGGAGACAGCTTCAGTGATATTTTCTGTGAAGTGTCATCCTTCTTAAATGTCTTTTCAGCTGAGCTGCCAACTTACAAGAGAGAGCTATTAAATTGTGCCAAAATAATTTCAGAGAAGAGTCCTTGTGGTGTGCCCTCTGATGTTTAGATTTTATTACTACATAGCTCAAGAAAAAAATAAAAATTTATCAAATATGGCCAAAATATACACTTATCAATAGCCTGACTGAAATTAATTGACAATTGTCATGATATTAATATCGAATAAATTCAAAATCGATATCAATGCCAATCAATATTCATCACATATTAATAAATCATTAATTTTTATCTTAAATAAAAGGGTTAAATGTACTTATTGTGTTGAATTAACCTTTAGAAAACTTTACCTTATGAAAGTCAGGTGATTTCTAACCCTTGACAATATTATTCTCAGGCAAAAGTCAGAATAATATTAATTCTATTTACCAGTTGTGGTTAGTTAAATCCTAGGCAAAATGGGTTTAATGTGGTTAAATCAGGTGTTAATATTCAACTGATGTTACATTACATGTTAATATTACTTTTAATCTAAATTTTCTTAAACACCAAACAAAATAATAATTTCATGTCAACAATGGGAAAAAATAGACATTTTATGAATGATTGCCATGAATGGGATGTGAAAAAAATAATGTTTACATACTTACTAGGTATTACAAAGATCATGCAAGCTCACAGCTCAGCTAAGGCTATCAAGCAAATAAAAATAATAACAAATGTTCAGTATTTACATCATCTGAGATCTCATCTCTTTCTCCACACTTTGTTCTCAATCTGTACAAAGAAGACGAAAAAAACAATTTGTTTGAAAATTCCAAGCATCCAGCTATTGGGAATCAAAACCTTTTTATAAGTCTCATACAAAAAAAAACTAAAACTCTTTGAGAGATAAGAGTTAAGCACTCATTACCATCTTCTTTTTGAGGTCAATAGCCCAAATTTTCGAACTCTATTGATGGCAAAATTGTCCTCTACAATCCAATTAGTTCATTTCAGAAAGCTGAGCAAGTGAACTTGAAATAATAGAGATTAACAGGGAAATAAACTTCTATTAATCCTTGTTATCAATATTTCGAAAAAAAAACCTTCTATTGTTATCAGTTGAGTAAGGCACTAAAAGAGTTTGGTGACAGGTTTGACCACAACATGACAGTGTTGTCAAATGGTAACCAAATCTCAAGAGCTACACATCACCAACCATCAAACTACACAACCCAAAAGAAATCAAACAAAACATTGCCACTGGAAACAGACAATGACACAATTTTGTTACCACCGCGCCTCACTAAATTGAAAATTGCAGTACATTGTTGGAGAGAAGGAACAACAATCTGATCAAAGAGCCAGTTCTTACGTCCTCTGAAAGCTCATCAATCCAAAAATATAGTTTCACTAGATCATAAGAAACAAAAAGGTAAGGGGGTATTTGTATTCTACCAAGTAGCTGATAAATAATTTCACCACATCATATAGCTCAAACTCTTTGGTTACTCTAACTCCATTTTGAGTGAAAACCAGTGTTCACTGAGGCTTGTAGCAAGATGTTTAGTAGTAATAACAGTATCAACAAAATGTATAGCTTTTGTCACACCTGTGCCTTGTAATCATCAGCTAGTTTCTGCCATTGTAATTTGTTTTCTCTACAGCCCTCTTTAAGCGGAGCAAGCTTTGGACTCATTAGTGTAAAAGCCTGCAAGAAAACTCAAAGATTCATCTACCTTGAAGTTCTGAGAAATTATAATTAATGTAGAGTTCTTTTTTTTTCGATAGCTAATCAAAAGCCCAAAAGATAAACTTGAATTGCCAGTTGCTTATTAGCCAACAAATGAGAATTACTGGACATAATGTACAAGTTCATCAACCTTGTAAATAAACTGTTTAATTCCTTGTTACTGAGAGCGGGATTATTTTATTTTATTGCAGTAAAATTCCATGACTTTCCATGACAGATTAAGAAAAAAATTTATGTTTTCCTAGAAAAGTTTGATTTTACACACAATGTTGAGAACATTGAACCAAATGATTGAATGCCACTCACCTTATACAGAGGTAGACAGACAGAATCTATGAAACCAACTTGCATTTGTGGAAGTTCATCTTTCTTTGCCCTGTCCATCATAGCCATGGGTGTGGATTTCAACTCTTGTTGTTCAAGGTCACCTTGCTGAAAGAATTCCTCAGCCACAAGTAGTGCTGTCTTTAATGAGAAACGAAAAAAAAAAAAGAAAAGGTTGAGACAAACAGTAGAGAGCTGCTTGCTTTATATCAATAACAAATGTATGATGAGAAAAAACAATCCACTTACTTTTAAATAGGAAAAATCAACAGCAAAAACAAAAGAAACAGAACAAAATTTATTCAACAGCTGTGTTGAAAAAAAATTGTAAATCTTGGCATTGGTTTTTTCAGTTGATCTAGCTCTCTCAAGTCACACCAATTGGAACATTATCTGGTAATGTTAGTCACCAAGATTATTGAAAATGATTGTTAAAAAAAAAGACACTCAATTTTGAAATTGAGTTGTAATCATCACTGGCATGAAATTTACATTTTTCTTCTCAGAAGCACAATTATTTCAACAAACCATTAAAATGGTTAACCACTTAACTATGACCAAGCAGTAAAATCTCCTTACCCTTCTCTGTACAGGCCAAGGTTTGGTGATGGCTGAAAGATCACATGCTGTCATCATCATAGCTCTGAATGCATATAAGATATAAAGTGTAACTTAACCCTTTAACTCCCGAAAGTGATTAACAAGTAACTTCTCCCTATGCAATCCACACATTATCCTGTAAAAGGGTTATGAGAATATTCAAACTTATCAGTTGTTCTCTTGATCTAAAACCAAATCCTGATGACTACTTCATGGTCTTTGAAAAATTTACAAGTGCTTAATTACACCAAATTGCTTGAATGAGAAATCATCTGGTTACTTGTTAATAATTTACATGAAAAATGCATCACAGAAAGTCAAGTGGAGTAAATTTCTGTAACTTGTGTGCTATTTATAATTTGCACTTGTGTTACAACTTTGCACTTGTGCTACATGAAAAATGCACTTGTTTTCTGCCAATCAGATGCGTGTAGTTTTTTCGTGTACATTATTAGAACAAGAATCTGGGCTGGTTGGGGTATGTGAAATAAGCAACAAGGCTATAAATAGTTACATCAATTAAAAAATGACCAAAAAGCACAATTTCTTGATACTCAGTTGTTCAACAAAAGTTGGAAAAAACCCTGAAAATATTAAAAGATGTTTTCACACCTCAAAAGTTCTCTGTTTTCATCAGTTGACCAATCTTCAAGTCCAGCTTCAGCTTTCTTGAAAAATTCAGCCCGTTTCCTTAGATGAAAAAGATTCAGAATGGAAATGCCTCCTTGACATTATTCCCAAGAACAAAAATCATTATCAAGTGCATCAACCTGGTAAGAACACTATACTGTCTATTACTTACTGGAAGTACAAGGCTAGATCAGTTGCAATGATTGCTTGTTCTACAAGTTTGATCACTTTGTTATAATCCTCAGCTGAGAGAGATCCAAAAATTTCATTTCCCTAAAATGAGATATTAGGCAAAACAATACTAAGTAAAGTAAAAGAGATAAAAAATATTTAATTCATTACTCATCTAGTGTGAAATAGTTATTAACATCAGTCAACATTATTTGACAAAACATAAAATACTGCAATTTTCAGATGAGCGAGGCGTGGGGGAAGTTTGGTGACCAATTTTGATGTGAAAATTCTGTTATTGTCATGGGTAACTAGCTCTGTTTCTTATGGCAATATGTTGTTTCACTTCTTTTGCTGAACTTTCATGTTCAATGGTTGGTGATAATTAGCTCTTGAGATTCAGTTACCACCCCTTTAATTGAGGAAGGTCACCTGTGGCAACACCATAATTTCATCACCTTACTTATCCACATCTCACTCAACTGATAATTGCAGTAGCAAGGTGTAACTGGAGAAAGGGAAAGAGATGCTCTGAATAAACACTAAGTGTTCCAGAAATTCTAAATCACATACAAGCAAAAAAGCAATGAAACTGTACAAGATAGGGATTACTACAAAACATAACAAGCCATCTGGCCTAACCTTAATATCCTATCTCCCTTACAGATTAAACAATAATCAATACCTGGCTGTTGATGATCATAATGCATTGATCAAAGTGATGATGCTCCATAGTTGATGTGCTATAAAGTTGTGCTAATGCCGAGGCACTCCTAAGGGTGTGGTGAATAGCTAGTTATCATAATTTGAATATTACACTTTAGCAATTTACATAATTTGTAGGTTGTGACATTAGTCAGGGTAATTTAGTATTATGAACTGTGTTGATAACATAAATTTTTTGCCATAAAGAGTTTCAAAGCTGATGTTTCAAGTGTTGCCCTTTGTCATAGCCCTTCATCCCTTCTTTCCCTCTGACAAAGGGCTAAAGCTCAAAAAGTCAGCTTTTAAACTCTTTACAATGGCCAGTTCAGGTTATCAACTCAGTTGATGATACTAAATGACCCTGTTATACTCTAACACCGATGCAGCACAACAGTTTCTTTAGAAACTTACCCCCTTTATTCATGTGACAGTAGTCGACTAAGTTTAACACTCAAACAACCACTGTGAGAGAGGAGAATTTTGTTCAAGAAAATGGAATGAGACCTAAGACTTAACCTTAACCCTTCAAGTCCTAAGAGTGACTAGCATCTAATTTCTCCATACAGTATCATTCAGACATCAAACATTAACGTCATGAGAACAAAAAAATGATCACCAACTTAAGATGCCCTTGGCTGTAAAAAAAAAACTCTCCTCGTGGGTACTATTGGAAATGTATAGAGAACAATAAGGAGAATATGCATACTGATGTTAGGGTGCAAACATTACATAAGAAAAACTTAACACACTCAAAATGAGTGTTCTGTCCACTTACTTTATTTGAAATGAGTTGTTGGTTCCCCTGTGATCAAGATCATGTGAAAGACAGGCAACTAGAAGAGCAAATTTCTCTTCTGGAGTAAACAACTTCCCAAATTCGTCCACCTATAATCCAAAATATCACATTGTGGAAAAAAACTAACACTAATGCCATATGTTTATCAGGGCTCTGAGCTCATTCCTTTTTTGAGGTTGCCATTACTTGATCTGGAATCACAAAATGGTTGCCAGAACAAAAAAATGGATAACTACCTTGAGAATGGTGAACATTGTCTGAGCTACATTAAATGCATGCCTCCAGTTGTGGTACATCACAGGCCGGTAGTTTTTCTTCACTGTTAGGATCCAGCGACAGAGAACCTGATGAATACAAACATTAAGGTTGGTTACTAATGATGGACCACATTTCATATGAGGATTGTACAGCAAAGACTAAATTTAAAGTAATCATAATCCTTTAGCACCACCAGAATAACTGGCTTCTTGGTTCTCCTTACAGTTTCACCTATGAGTCAAATGAAAATGTTGTGAGAATAAAGGAAATGATCACCAATTTAAGAAGCTCCTTATTACCAAACAAATTCTCCCCACCTGTATTGAGGGAAATGTTAAGAGAACAGAGTGTGGAGAATATATATGTTTATGTTAGAGTGTGAAGGGCAAACAGCCAATACAAGGAATCAATGACCAGTCAACGAGGAAACAAAAATACCCTGTGCATTGTGGGAAAATACAAAATTGTTTTATTTTCGTTTGATTGGTTGAAAGGGTAACATAACTTTTCTAGGCCAACAACAGAGTGAAGTAAAATAAAATAAATGAATTTAACCGTTTACCACCCTAACATCAGTATGTATATTCTCCAAACTGTTCCCTATACATTTTCCACTTGGTGCTGACAAGAACGATTTTTTAAACAATCAAGAGAGTGTTAAGTTTCTGATCATTTCCTTATTCTCCTGACCTTAATGTGTGTTTAGTCATTCTTAGAGGTAAAAGGGTTGATTCTGGATGACATTTCACACTCAATTGAAATTTACTCTGTAATAAAATAAAATCCAAAAATATATATTAAGTATTCAAACAATTCTGTAAGCTAAATTAAGTAAAAACAAATAAAAAAGGAAGAGCAGTACACTGTTTTACCTGGTACTCCACATTAAAATGCTCATGTAACTTTAGGTCCATCACCATGGCAAGAGTGCCTAGAAGAGTATCTTGATCACTGACCAACTCATCATCAAATGTGAACTCCAACAGATTAAGGGTTTTGATTGATGGTAAAGGAACAGACTGCAGAGGAGAAGGATAAAAATTAAGGTAAAAAAAATACAGTGAGCTTACAAGCTAGAAAACTGATTTTGCCAGAGCTTATCCCACTCTGAAGTGGGAGATGCAATGGCCTAATGGTAATTGCCCTGGGCCGGTTTGTTCAAAACATGGTTAACCCCTTCACTCCCAAGTTCTTGTGAGTAATTCTCCTCACTGTCTGCCATACCCTTCTCATGATGTTAGTTTAGGGAATTTAGTCTTAGATCAACCAATAATCCCCTAACTGTTATTTTTCGTTATTCTTGTCACTACAAGTCTGCTTGATGTTATTGGGTTTGTTACTTTGCTATAGACACTTCATGCAATGGAAACTGTAAACAATAAACCATAAAAGGTCCATTTTACAGTTGTCTACTTGGTAGTCAAGCCTCTGAAAAAGAGTGAGGCTAATTAAGCCTTTCACTCTGAAGATCTCATTAGCAATTCTCCTTACTGTCTGCCATATAATTCTTATGATGTTATTTTGGAGAATTTGGTATTGGATCAACTGATGATTGATACTTTTCTTTGTTCTCATCACTTGCCTGCTTAATGTTGTTTCAAAAAAGGAAGGAGAAATTCAGTCTTGGTCACTAATGGGAATTAAAGGGTTAATGTGGACCTTGCTGCTTTTGAAATGTAAATCACTTTGCTATCATGCTAGCTATACTGGTTAGACAGTGGTCCCTATCACAACATGGTCACCTTCAGCCTCACTCCAAATCAAAGGCTTGACAACAAAGTACACAATTGTAAATGACCCATTCAAAGCTTTCAAGTGATATTGAAAAATTCTTAGACTCTCCAGGTTTTCCATGGAACCTGAATTATTAATCAAATGTAAAAGTTGTGTACCTTTAATTTGTTAGCTTCCTCCAAAGGGGCAGTGGCATGGTAGGAAAGAACCTTGAACACAACACAAAAACAAAAAATTAGTGACTTAACCCCAGATAGTGGAGCAAGACAAGAGGAGGGTACTTAGTTTGATCATGGTGTTCATCAAAAGCTGGCCACTAATTCAAACATTCAAGACATCCGTTAAACTTGCAGTGATTTCATTAATCCTTTACACTTAAACATCAGTATTCATATTCTCCATACTGTTCTTAAGTATTTCCTAAGGTACTGACAAGGAGAATTTGTTTCACAATCAAGAGCTTCTTCAGTTGGTGATCACTTCCTTTATTCATGTTACCTATATGAGTGATCCAGGGGTGATATTGAAAGGAGAAATTAGATATTAGTCACTCTTAGGGGTCTAAGGGTTGAGATGTGGTACAAATGGACAGTCAAAAATAGCAGGCAAGCAGTTGTGAGGGGTTGGTAGGTCTTTCACTGCCAAGAATGTCCAAGCTTTCCCAGGAAATTTTGAAGTTCTAGAATCTTGCAGCAGCAGCATCATCCTTTATTTTCCAGGTTTTCCCTGATAGTCCATTTACAGCTGCATGTTTGGTTACCAAGCCTTTGAACGGGAGTGAGGCTAAGGATGACCTTGTTATGATAAAAACCTTGCCTCTTTTTAAATGCAAATTACTTTTGGTATCATGCTAACTAGATACTGGTCTCTCTCACAACAAGGTCACCTTCAGCCTCACTCCAAATCAAAGGCTTGGCAACTGAGCAGACAACTGTAAAATGACCTGGTACTTTGACATTCTTGGATGTCAACATGTATATGTTAAGAGTACAATGACTTTTGAGAAATGCCACAGACAGATGGATCTAACTGCCACCCAACTGCTACTGAAACCCTGAGCTTGTTAATAAACAATTCTTACCTCCAGTGCAACTTTCTGTTTTGCCATAGCTTTGTTGACATTTTCATACATAACAGTATTCTGGATTGCCATGCCACAAAAGATTGCAAAAGCCTGTAAAACCAATGGAAAATAAGAAATATCATTACTGGATATAAAGGAATATTTTGGCATTTATAAGTACAGGTGGGTATTGATAGAGCTCTATAATTTTGCATCTCTGTATAAGGAGGTCAACAAAAATCAAACTGATCCTCACAGATGTACTACAAAAGAGGAAATTGAATAAAGAAAAGTCTGAATAAATTCTGGCTTTGAGAGAGTTCAAACCTTTGCCTTCCAGATATCAGATGACTGCCACTACAAACTGGGCCATGTTAGCAGCAGCAAATAGGTTGAGATCAAATAATTCACTTGCCCATCTAAACAAGTTTCAAATCATATCTACCATAAGTGAATACACACTTTGTCAGAAGATATACCTCGAAGAGATTTTCATCATTCTTGTTGAAAGCTGTGCCATCAAGTTTGTTCAAGAGTTGGACAACACCTGAAAAAAGAGAAGAGGAAAACGAACTTTTAGGAACTTTATTCTTAGAGAAAATGACAGTTATTAGCAAAGGACAGAAGAGTGGCAAAGCAAAGGACAGAAGAGTGGGTCTGGCTTATAAAAATCCTTGTTTGTTAACCCTTTAACCCCTAAGAACATGAAATTTCTCCTTACAGTATCACCCCAGAATCACATATCAAGGTCATGAGAATAACAGAAATGATCACCAACTAAAGAAGCTCTTGATTGTTAAACAAATTCTCCTCTTCAGCACCTTAGGAAATGTATAGAGAACAGTATGGAGAATATGCATGATGAATTTAGGTTGTAAAAGGTTAAACAAATACCACAGAACCAATGATGAAAAGAGTATAAACGACCAGACCAAACTAGACCAACCCAGTTGGCTGGGATCTTCATTATTAAATGCAAGGCACAATTATTGTAAATTTTTTAGATAAATGAATGAGACTACTGACATCAGTTTGGGATTTACATCTCTTAAAGTGTCATGATCAAAAGCAGACCATGAAATTGGAGACATATCACTTAAACAGTTGTTTTAAGCTGCTGACAGTCATGTTGCAGATCACTTAACAAGCCTCAAGAGGTGGTATCCAATCATTTTGTATCCACAGTCATTTTGTTCCAATGATTCATACCCAAATTGCCAATACTCCATTTTACACTTGACTGCTTGTCTGCCAAGCCTTTGAACAGAAGTGAGGCTAAGGTTGACCTTGTTATGATACAAACCTTGCTGCTTTCCAAATGTATATGACTTTGCTATCATGCTGACTAAATATTGGTCTCCATCATGACATGGTGACACCCTCAGCCTCACTCCAAATCAAAGGCTTGGCAACTAAGTACACAACTGTAAAATGGCCTATTATTGAGACAGACATTAATATTCCCTCCCTCACCTATAATTTCTTCACTGCTGTTCTTAATAGGCATACATAGAATTGTTTGGGTGACAAATCCTGAAGCTTGGTCAACCTGTGTAACAGAACAGGAAGAAAACATAAGTGGGCTGTGCAGTAGAGTAAAGCTTGCATTTTAAACTGATCATGTCACATATGGTTGCCAAGAGATGTCATTTAACATAAAATATTGAATACATACAGCTGGATCAAATCTCTCATCTTGATACGCATCGGGAATATTTAATGTCTGAAAAAAATAAAGGAAAAATCACAGATAATAACTTTTTAGTACATCTACATAAACCAAAGTCTCCCATACAAAAAAAGGCATCTCAAACCTCGCCAGTTGTTGCAACATGACCTGTAATTCCTATATTGATAGGAAATCGGACTTCTGTCTTGCTACTGAAAAGAAGAATACAAAACAACTATGACTAAAAGAACTAGACTCTTGAGCCCTGCAGTCCTTAACCCTTAAAATCCCATGTGAGACCAAAACAGAATTTCTCCTCGCAATACCAATACAATATCAACCAGATAAGTGATGAGAATAAAGAAAAATATCAATTAGGGGATTATTAGTTGATCTAATATCAAATTCTCTGAACTAACATCAAGAGAATAATTACTGTAAATATATGAAAATCATACATGTGACCTGCAGTTGAAGAAATGAATATGGAAGCAATTCTTGCAGTTCTGAACTCTACTTAAGCAGTAGTGAAAATAAGGCCTGAAAAAAATTCAGGCCTGTATGGGAATTGACCTCTGCAATACTGGTGCAGTGCTTTACAACCTGAGCTAACAAGCCAACTGGGAGCTGGTCATTACATTAGTTCCAAATAAACCCTCGAAGGGGCAAATAAATGACTGTAAATACATGAAAATCATATATGCGAAGTGCGGTTGAAGAAACGAATATGGAAGTGACCCTCACAGTTATGAACACTATTTAAAATATTATAATAAGTACTACCAAAAATTTCAGGCTTTATTTTCACTACTACTCAAATAGTGTTCATAACTGCAAGATTCAAGTGGCATAGGTCAGTTGTTCTGTTCAGTTCATTTGTAATGTTAATGTCATGAATAAGTTGTTTATATGGTGCCAGTGGTGGTTAACACCTGTTGAGGGGAGTCTGTTCTAAGTTAGTAAGCTAGCTTTCCAGAGTCAGTCGTTGAAAGTAGTTAGTGCTGTAGGTTAGGCATTGCGCAGAGTCCCAGTCAATAGTGTGGTTTACAGCCAATAACATCACAGCAAAACTGACCAATCAGTTTATACATACTCACTCAAACAATCAAATTACAACATTACATTTTATTTCTTAATACATAATTCATTGTTTGAGTTTTGTTTCACTTGGAGCTTGTGTCTGGAAGCAGACAACCAGGAAATATTTACTGCATATGGAGTTTAGTCTTCCTGAAGCTCAAAAATGTTGTTGTATGCAGACTGGGCACATGAAACACTCAGGATTCAATGGATTAATAATTCTATGAAAGTTACATTTACCATGATCTGTGTTTCACCACAGTCTGATCATCTTCATTTAAATAGTCCCGGGCCTCTAAATCAAAAGCTTGAGAAAAAAGTGTCTACAATAAATAGAGAAAAAAAAATTAAACTCAATTTTTGTTAAAAATTGCTTTTCATAGTAATACTATACTAACAATTCTCTAAGCAAATGTTCATTCTTACTACCTACAACATATGTTTCAACTCACCTGGATCTTCTTTTGAATATATTGGTTAGGGATGTTCTTCAATTTTTTTTATGATTTCAGTTTTGGGTTATGCTTCATTTCCGTGACTTTTGTGAGATTGAGATTGAGGGGGGAGGGGGGGGGAAGGACTGAGATGTAGCAGTAAAGGAAAACAATTGAAAAAATTAAAGGAGGAAGGAAGTGGTTGGGGGGGAGATAGGGTTGTAACCAAAAAATTATACTGCTATTACCACCAGTAAACAATACAAATTTGATTAACTTACTTACAAGACACTGCACTTACCAATCACCAAGCAAAATCTATTAGACCCTTTTTTCCCTTCAGTACACAGCATCAAAATTATAAGTATAGCGTTTCAAATGAATAACTTCAACTCATACCTTTGAAGAAGGATCAACTAAGAGAACTGAACATCTTTCACATTGAAGTAGAGTCTGTGTGATCATCATAATTTTCTGTACAATGTTGTGAAGTGTGCTCTGTTCTTCAAAAATTGTTCTAGCTAAATCCAGTAAAACCTGGAAATTAAAACAAATTTTACTTATTTGAATCAGATGTGCAAGATAGCTATGCAGAGCTCTCAAGTTGATTTGCTGGAAAAGAGTGAAGTTGTCGATGTACAGCCTTAAAAGTGATGCTGTGGGCACCACCGTCAAGAGGGGGGGGAAGGGAGGGAGGGAGGTGGGGCATGGGGGCATGCTCCTCTGAAAAACTGTGAAAAAATGATGCATCTAAGGAGTGCATTCATTTATCCTCAGCAAAAAGTTCTAACATTGGAAAGAGTTAGAAGCGAGCACAAAGGGAACATGGAGTAATGTTAATTAGAAGGATAAATTAAAATTACAAGTAGCAGCAGTAGTTTGTTACCTAAAAATGAATATTTTAAAGCAGAAATCTTACATGCATGAGAAATAATATTTCCTGCATGAGAAATTAAGATTGAATTTAAAGTCTAACGCTCAATGATCGAGACTTAAGAGCTCTGTGCAAGATAGGTATGTAGTAGTGGGTTAATCATAACACACCTGGTTTCTTCTAATTTCAAGTTGTGCTCTCTCATAGAGTTCTGCATTTGTAATTCCAATTCCACAGAAGACCAAGTATTTGCTAAATATCTGCAAAACAAAGAGGTCATTGATGATAACCTTACTTTAAATCATACAAAACTTGTTAATTCCTTACGTATATAATATACTTTCCCCATGATATAAGCTGTGAGAGAGGTAAGGATTGGGTTCAGGATTGGCGAAATTTTACCAGTAAACTCATATAAACTGAATTGAATATCTTCTTTATTCAACAGCCAAGCTTAAAGTTTTACCATCTGTCTTTTTCTTTTGCAATAAGGATAGTGTTCATCATCACTAATTCTAACAGTGTGCAAGATGCACCAAGAAGTTAAGAAATAAATGCACCATCACCATTCAACCAATATTGATCAAATGCTGAGCATTAGGAAATAAGGTCATAAGTTTGTCCCCTACCAGACTTCACCCAATAAGAGTAATAAAAAATGCACTACAAATTTTTACCTTTTCATCTTCTCTGGTAAAAGTGTGATCTAAAAATCCTCTTTTATTTATAACTTGAGCAACGCCAATAATCTATGAGGGTAAAGAAAATATAGGTAAACAAACATAGAATTCATTGCCAAAATCAAATAAAGCCATGGGGATTAAAAAAAGTGGCTTTTTGCCATCACCATTTCTGGGTAGAATTGGAAAATCGAGAGTTGGTTTGGTGAAGGAAGAAAGACTTCAGAATCAAGTGAAGCATCCTCAGTGCAAATAGATGGAACCAATTAACACCAAACTCAACCTTTATATGATATTTGGGGAACTCAAAAACAATACACAGGTAGTGGCAGGCAGTTTTACTCACCAGTGCACCAGTTAAAGGGGCACTGCCACTTAAATTACTTTGAAAAGAACACCATGATCCTGCAAGCCTTGTTTTTGATTAAAAAGTATGGGGATTCCTCCCTTTATCTGCCAATAGGGTTCCTCTTCTTAAATGACATACCTCTCCATGGTAGTGATCTCTGATTGGCATACAAAGAATACTTCTGGTGTGGTAACCAGTTTTTTTGTCAATTTCCTGGTTAAATCTTGAATCCTGTTGAGGAAATAACATTTTATCATGAACACTCACTCATGACAGGAACCATCTAATAGTGGAACCTCTGTTCAAGAGACATCCTGTGCACCTGAAAAGATGTTCCCTTAAAAAGTTCCTCCTTAGGCAGGGATAAAAGTTGCAAAGATTACAGGGATATATATTTTTTTTAATCAAAACCTACTTTTATGTCTTTGAATGGAAGTGACTGAGACATAATCTACTGCTTTTTCATTGATTGCCTGTGAGGGAAATAGTTTAACCCTTTAACTCCCAAGATCTCAATGGTAATTCTCCCTACTGTCTGCCAAATGATTCTCATTATGTTAGTTTGGAGAATTTGGTATTTGCTTAATTAGTAATCACATAATTGATATTTTTCTTTATTCTTATCACTTGTCTGCATTATATTGTATAGATATAGTGAGGAGAAATCCTGTCTTGGTCACTCATGAGAGTTAAGGGTTATAATCCATATATATTTCTTAGTGTTGACCAATTTCTCACAACTGTTCTCAGAGCTCTCAGGTTGATTTGCTGGCAGAGAGTGAGTTTTGCAACCCCATGGCCTCTGATTATGATGCTGGAGGCTTCACCTTCCTGGGAGAAAGGGGGCAGGGGATTGATTCTTACCATTTAAATCAAAAGTAAATAGGCCATTTACAGCTTTGTACTTAGTTGCCAAGCCTTTGATTTGGAGTCAGGCTGAAGTTGACCATGTTGTGATAGAGACCAATATCTAGTTAGCATGATAACAAAGTAATTTACATTTGAAAAGGAACAAGGTTTGTATCATAACAAGGTCACATTTAGTCTCACTCTTGTGAAAAGGCTTGGCAACCAAGCACACAACTGTTAGATGGACTATTTCTCCAGCCAAACGTGTCTGACTCATGCATTTAAAAGCCCATGTTTGAAAACACACCTCTTCTTTCATTGGACTTGTGAAGCACAGAAAGAAGTTAATAATACAAGTGTATCTTGGTACACAAATTATTTAACCCTTTCAGTCTCACTAGCGACCAAGACAGAATTTCTCCTTACACTATCAGTATAATATCAAGCAAACAAGTAATGAGTTTAAAGAAAAATATCAATTAGGGGATTATTGGTTGATCCAATTCCAAATTCTCCAAACTAACATTATATGAATTGTATGGCAGACAATAAGGAGAATTACTAATGAGATCTTGAGAGTTAAATGGTTAATATATAAGCCATGGGACTTTCTATATTTTCTTGCGAAATTGTAACTATCCTACAATGCCTCAAGTTTGCTAAATTTTAAAGGAATCATTTGCTTCGTGCTGACAACAGACACATTTTTAGCATTTACTTCATAAAAATTTTAATTTAGCGTTTCATCTTATACTCTCTTTCTTTATCAAAATTATGTGGCTTGTTTTAGCAGATTAAAGCACATATCTAGCACTCTTTTTTTGTACCAAATCATGTTAAATACTGAAAAAGATGAGAAAACTTTTTATTTTGAAATGCAAAAAATCTATCAGAACTCAATGTAAAGAAGATTAAGCTCATTGGTGAGGCAAACATAGAAATAAACTTAAGCCAGCCTACTCAGTCAGGGCTGTTAATAAAGGCTGTAACCCATAATAGCTGTCAAGGCTCAGCTCTTTCAATGTTACAGGTGAAGCTGTTGATTGTTAGCCATTACATTCCTAATGTAAAAGCTACCTTCAAACTTAGGAACTGCCCTATCAATCATACATAATTTTTAGCACAAAATTTTACTTTAATTGAAGTATATTCAGAGAAATCCCCAAGCCTCAAAGAGTTTTGCATGCAGACGGAACATTTTCCAGCTAATATGGTATTCATGTTACTCAGCTTGAAATTCATGGAGATGTGCCAGGCCACAGTTTTAGCTTTCCTATTACTGTTCTTTCTGCAGGGTATAATAATATATAATTTCTGCCCAAATAGATTTCCTAGCTTTTTCCTAGGACTGGAGTAAAGTCTGGATACACAGAAGAACTAAGACATTTTCTTTGCATTCATTTAGGATTAATTGGTTTCCCCATCTCAAAAAAAATTACACCATATATTTTTTTCATCCTTTTCCATTCTAACAATGTTTTTTTTGGGTTATTTTGGTACAATACAGTATGTGAAAACATGAAAAGAAATAATTCGATAACAAGCTAACTTTAAGTCATCAAAGACCACATGATGAGTACCATCTGCTGATTTTGAAGGAAGAAATTAAAATTAATAGCTGCAATTAAGAATCTAGAGAAAATTACACCAATATTGAAAACACAGCCTGCCTTCAGCTTCAATACATACCTTTGTAATTTTCACAAAATAACATAATACTATCTAACAGTGAAGCATTTTTTGTCTATGGCAATTTTAAGAAGCTCATTAAAAATGTTTTAGGATCTCAATTTATGTCGAAACAAAGACTGCTCCAGAATAATTATTGTTAAAAAAAAACTAAACTCTGGTTGCTAGAAGGTGAAGTTACAAAGCAGCTGGACCATAATTAAGCTCCAGGTGTTTATCAGAAGAGAATGGAAAATTCTCAAGCTGCTCTTCAGAATTCCCTGCCAAAATTTTGATGGCTTGATCAAACTGCTTTTATTAAAACATGGAAGTTATTCTCTTGTTACTTTTTTTATATATTACTGCTACTATATTTCTCAGTGAAAATCCTAAAATCACTGATCAGACACTAAAAGTCCCTTTACATACCTTACATTTGATTTATGCACAAATATTGATATCATTTAAATAATATTTGCGAGAGTTCTGCAACCAAGACAGTACTTGGTACCAGAAAAAATAAAAGGGGTAAGTTAGCTATAGGTGTAAAATAACAACAATACACTGAGTTAAGTCCACACCCACAGACACCCAGAGTTTGAGATATCTAGGCTAACTTTACCATTGATAAATGGCACACGAACTGTTTGAGACAAAAAGGGTAAAATTTCAGTGCCACAGCAAAAAAGTTCCCTGCTGGGAATACACAGACAAGAACACTGCTCTCCCTTCTTTCAAGTGCAAGAAGAATCTAGAAACCAGTAGAGCAATCCTCTTACCTGTTAAATTTTCAAATCTTTTTAGTAATTTTAGGCAGTATAAGAGGTACTACAGGTGGTAAATGTTACCAATTACTGTATGAAAAGGATAGCACTACTAGTATTGAGATATTTAATGGAAAGATTACAGTGTCACATTAAAAAAGCATGCACCCTAAAACAGAATCCACAGTTTGAAATAATTATGGGAAAGAGAAACATCCTACTGTGACACAATTAAGATACAAAACTGCAATAACAGGTGTTTTGTGACAGGAAGATACTGATGAGCACCCATGGTGAAATGTTATTGACACATGAACAAAACTCTACTCCTGTGGGTGCAAGCTGAGTTAAAGATATCAATCATCCATACAAAATAAAAGCCAACTTTAATCTAAGGTAAAACTTATACAAAACAATAAAAAAAACTTCTATCCCTGTGGACACAAGCTTAGTTCAAGATATCAATTTTCAATGCAAATGGAAAACTAACCCTTACACTAATGACAAAGTGCAGTTTTAACAGAATCCCAAATGACAAACTCTCTACAAGTGAACAAATAATCATTTAAAAGCTTAATATCAGCATATTTAAAAGTAAACCAGTGTCTGCAAACAAGCTTTTCATCTAGAGAAATTAAATTTTGAAATACAAAAACAAAAAAATTAGCAAAACTGTTCATTGATTTAAAGCTCATGGTGCCCAGCTTAAAGTGATGTTGTTCTTAAATTGGAAATTTGTCTCAGAAAAAACAATGAAAATTTGTTGTGATGGTGAAGCACATTATAGAATTTAATAACAAGCAGACCTTCCCAAGACCATGCAATTCATGTAGCCAAAAAGAAATTATCACAGAAATCCATTAAATGCTGAAAAAGTTAAAAAGGATTTGCATTGAATTAGGGTTGTCAAAAATGTTTTGAGTGACTGGCTTGTGATAAAAAGTAGGCAGTATATCCTCATGCTTCAATCATGAAAATCTAGCCACAAACATTCCAAATGGCTGGCATGTTTTTCAGAGCAGACGGTGAAATGTGCCAGTTGCTGGCTTAATATGATAACCCTATGGAATAGCAAGTTGACACATTGCAGATTAAGTGAGGAAAAATATGGGATAGTGGGCATGCATGCAAGTCATGCAATGCATTCATAAAGCACCAGAGAATGGATAGATTGTCAAAGATCACAAAAACACACAAACTAACTGATTATGATAAGGTAAGGAGTAAGAAAATAGTTCAGTCACAGATAAAGAAGATGCTGTGATAACATCCAGCATTACACTGGTATGCAATAGAAAAGTGGTTAGTACATTTCTGTACAAAGTAAATCAGTGAATAATTAAAGACAAATTCCTTAGTGAAAGCAGTATACATTAGCTCTTGTATTTTAGATTGAGTGGTGTGGGAAGGAAAACTATGAAACTTGAAGAAAAATCATCACGAAAAAGGATGAAAAGCAACGAAAATCACAACTACAATCTGGTCTGGGATTTAAATCTGGGTTTCTTAGCGAAATTAGGCAAGTGCACACAATGTTGCATCATTCCACCAAATTAATTTGACTGCTATGGAGTATTTGCCTTAAATTGTAAAGTAAGGAGGCTCAAAGAGGGTCAGAAAGAAGTATTACAGTTATCTTATCCGAGTGTACAAATGACTACCGATAATTAATTTCAAAACCCAACATAAATGTCAAAAATAGCTTTAGGTGGATTAACATATCAGTCAACAGAAGTAGCCTTTCCCATCACCACTATTCACTATGGAAACTAGATTTCAAGCCAGGGTAACATGGCAAAACAAACAAACTCCATTTTAGCATAATTCTAGACATAACTACAGCTGTTCTGTCAAAAATCAGACAGTTGGCAGGACTCACATACAACAAAAAAATCTTGAAGCAGGGTCTAAAAACCAGCTGTACGTGGTCCATTAGCAGAGCCACTTAGTGGCAAAACACAATTTGAATATCATTAATCCCATGGGTGTTTTTGCCTTTTCAAAATGAAAACGAAGATAAATAATACTCTACGAATATAATTTCTAATAACATTGATACATCTGACCTGTCAATAACGCAAAGATGACAAGGCTATAAAGTGTCCTTCATATCTGACGTAGGTCTATAATTTACAAGAGAGTATTGCAATCTGTATAAGAAAGAGAGATAATGTGGATAGCAGTCGGGTCACTTTTGCCGTACTGAAAAAGACCCGAAGCATTTTTTTGTTTACATAAATCATTCCCCTTGGGAATAAATCTCTGACTGAAACGAAAACTAGTGTATACTGACAAATTCTCAATTGATTTAGATATTACCTTCTAATTTAAATTTAACATCTGCACTATGTCGAGTGAAATAGACGCTTAGTGGCTTAAAAATCGACCCGATGAAAGGAAAAATCTCGCCGCTTTCCTTCAAAAGAAATTATGAATAAAGAGAATCGCGCCTGTATGTCCGGTCGGTGATAAATTTCAGTTTAATTAAGGAGAGAGCTTTTCAACCACAAGATAGAACTGTTTACATAAATTCTTATTTTTTGCTGCCTGTCCTTTGTTATGAAATAATATTACGTGCATACAATGGCAGAATAGATAACCGACCCTTTTACAATGAAGACACCTCTTACTTCCTCTACAACAAATGGCTTTCTTACGAATTCAGCCTTGGTTAAATAATTTGAGGTAAACGAAAAACGAGATCGGTGCGGAATGCTCAAAAAACATCACAAGAAGTAATTAATGTCTCATTCGAACGAAAAATGTAAAGAGGTACTACAAGAAAGGATTACAAGAAATCATTTAATCACTTCGCGACGGCTCGCGTGACATAATATTCTGTTTTTATAATCGCAAATATGTTTCGTCCTTTTCAAACTAACTGTCGCCTGAAATAAGAAATAGCTATTCTTTCAGCTTGAGTGGCTAACACCGCTTTAATATCTGGAACAAAAAAAATAGATGACACCGAACAGACAGAACAGGAATTAATTCCGAAGAGCGCGGAGGACACCCGTAAAACAAACTAGCTTTATTTTGTTATTTTGCTGTAAGTCAGTAAGGCTTACGATCGGAGCCACACGACAAAATTAACTTTTGAAAAGACTGCCACTTGCCAACACAAAAAATAAATAGTTACAAAAGAAAGAGAGAATACAAAATGCACTTTATTGAATATTTGAAAGCGATAGAAATAAGTCTTACGCATGCATGCTTGATCATTTTCCGAACATTTGAATATTCAGCGATGCTCAGTTAACCGAAAAGCGATTACCAATAACTATATTACTTCTTTAGAAAGTGTTCTAACCGCACAAGCTTTTGGTTAAAATCTGATGGCACACACAGCGCCAATCGCACCATATGTAAACAAACTAGCAGTAAACATGTCCGCGAGCAGGGACAGCAATTATGACTACAATGTTTTGACGATAACCTTTCTATTTCCCCTGAAAGCCACGGTAGTTTTGTTGTTGTAGATGGCTGAAACTAAGTTAACAAAACTAAACCTAGCAGACAATTTAAGCGTTTAACAGCAATCTCCTTACTAGTAACTCGAAGACAGAAACGCTCGAATTCGCTCGAACGACTACTAAAAATAGTTCTCGACATGACAGAGTGTTCACTCCAAATGTACCTTCGAGGTTCGTTTCCAGGGAGTCGTCCGCAAATTCGACGGTTCTAGGAAATTAAACGAATTTTTCGCTTGGGCACTGCGAGTATCCACAAAGTTTGATACAACGTTTGCTGTGTTAAATTCGCCAAAGGGGGTAGGCTCTCGAAACTATCACTGGACATAATCGATTAACAAGAATTTCGAGCCACAAATCTGCAGGCGCCAAACATTTTAGTTTATGAACTATAAAATGTTCCGTCCTCTTAAAATGGTTACGTTCGCTTCGCACACGAACGAAAAGTGGATAAATGAGAGAGTTAAAGATTAGAAATCCTGCTACGCGGCTGGAAAGTTTGTTCAAAGAAGACAGCTAAGCAACCGGCATTCGAGACAAAAAGCACATCGCGCGCGTAACACTTGCACCATGGCGAAAAAAAAAAAATTAAACAACTCACCTCATATGCGTTGGCAATGTTCACTACTTCTCCCGTATCTGCCGTATATCCTACGATTCCTGTGCCGAGGGGAATCCTTATTTCCTCCAACCCTTGCATGTCCTCAAGTTTAGACTCCGCATTCACATCAAACACTTTAGAGACCAGATAGCGTGGCCCATCTTTCGGGCCTTGAAGAAGAAAAAGCGAGCAACGATCTCCATTGACAAGAATACTAACATTTTGTAGGATTTTGTGACAAAGACATTTCACATCCAAATCACTGGCGATATCTTTGACGAGTTCCATCAGGAGCTCTGTCTCGTCCAGTTGTAGTAGTTCGACGCGCGATTTGCGATTGCGATGAGGCGATCGCGCTCTCGAAGGCTCGCTCGGTGAGAGAAACGTTGCTTGCCCATCGACAACATTCACTAAGGGTTTTAAGATCCCTCGGCCTTCAAATTCCGAGGCAGAGATTTTCCTTACAGGAGTAGAAGATCCCGACGGAGGCGGTGTTCCGCTAGGGGTAGGTGTTCGAAGCGAGCGTGACTGAAGCCAAGAATCGATCAGAGTCCTGCTTGCTTTCCGCGTAAAATAAGAGTGAACGAATTCGGGATGATCGTCAAGCCAACTTTCAATATTTTGTTCAATGTTATTCCCTTCGAGTTTGATACCCACAGGCTCCGTTTTTTCGTTTTTAGTGCAGCAATTCGCCATGATCGCTGCCCCTTGTTATACATTCGAAAAATACTCGATGGAGTTGATCCCTCGATCAGTGTAGAACTGACAACCAGTTGTTTAAGTTGATTGACAGTTAATTGGAAGCGCGCTCATGTGATTGGCTAAAACACTGGCATAGCTCTCATCCAGCGCCTTTGGATTTTGTTTCTTGAAAATCGCCAATATTATACTACACCTTGGCTTTTGTTGATGGGACATCCTCTCGCTTATTGAAAAAGCTTTTGCAAAGTAATTATTAAGCCGAAGGCTTTAGCGGCTTTTTGTTTGTTTTGTTCGTTTGTCTGTTTGTTTCTCGCGGGATTTAATTTGCCACTTATCAGGTTCTCTCCAATTTTCGTTTTGGAGAGTCTCTTATAACGGAGGAGGATACAAACTTCCTTAATATCACGGTGATAAACAAAAACAGCTATAAAAAAGTATTTTAAGCTTAGATATATCGGCTACATGCACCGAGAGCAAAATCAAATGATAGCCTCGCCTATGAGAGCAATCGCGTAATGGAAGGGTTTTTCATATTAAAACAAGTTATTAAGCACGGGTGGTTTATTTGCGAGGTAAATACTTGGAATCAGTTATGCAGCGGTAGATCTCAGGGTAGTGAACAAACTCCTTGGAAAATCTTTTAAACCATACGTTGTTTTCACATATCTCTCTAGACAAACAATTCCAAGCACTATCACCTTTTTAAGAAAGAACCTCAAGTTTCCCCTGTACGTGGGCCATCCCCTATAGCTCGAGGAGGATAGCCCCGCATTCGTCGTTCACTTATCCGCTTTAGAAATAGTTGTGCAATAATTGTAATGAATAATGCAAACACAGGTGTGAATTGCGTCTGTAAATCACAGAAATCTCACGTAACGCGCTGTAGGGATCATAAGGGAGCCAAGTTTTGCAACATCTTTTTTTTTCGACAAGAAACACTACTCCGCCTTTCGCAGAGCAGCAGCTCCCAAATGTTTCGCAATTCTGGCAGGTCATTAAAGAGATGGCCCAGGCTTAGTATTAATTGAAAACATCGAATTGGCCATTAGGACAAATAGATGTCTCTGATGCCTGCTTTACATTCGTAATTAAGCTTAGTCTTTGTCGTTTGCCGTCCTTAATTGACTTCATTGGTCAAATGGCACTCATGTTGGACGCCGTTAAATTTTTGATGCTCGGTCCTGTTGGAAGAATTCTCTATTTGGTTCTAGAAATATATTATGTGTTCCGTAGTATATAGAGAATATTCTTCAAAGAGCGTTTGTTTGAATCATTTCTTTTATCAATTACCCGCTCGCGTAGATGCAATTTATTATTATGTCTAAATCTATTACGCTGTTTATGAGAGCCTTATGTCATTGAATAATTTCACTTATTAAGTACAGTTGCCATGTTTCACAAGCCCCTGTAAACAGTTATACAGTGAGGAAAAAGCCAGGCTACTACATTTTTGAATCACAGACTTAAATCATTCAGAATAAAGAGGAGTAAATATGACGAGAAAAGCACTAGCAACAGAGTTGCACTGAGGTTAATTAATGCAAGTAAGCAAAGAATTAATGTTGCGTGAGCCTTGATCAAAACAATTCAACGAAGTCACGCGAGACTTCGCGCTTTTAAATGGCCTTGTACCTTAACGGTGCCAAATAATGAAGCATGTCAGAGATACCTCATCAATACGACCATGATACTTTCTTACACCGTTGTTTTCGATTAGATTGGACTGCTTTTAATCGTCTTATCGCGGACATCAAACACAGCACGTTTCTGACAATTTTTTCTGCAGTCTTGGCTTACTAAGATGGTAACAGTCCCTTAGACCTAAAATAGAATTAAACTGAAATTCGCCCCTTTGGAAAGGGACAAATCATATGTAGTTATACGATTGACTGTGGTTTCCGGACCAAGGCCCTTTAATGCTTGTAACACTTTATTATGCTACTAACGTATCGCAGACTAATGACTTGGCGATAAGAGGTTTCTCTTCTGTCGGCAAGTTCGCCTTGGTCGAGAAGGCCAATTAATTAATCCGCCGCGAAATCGTTATCGCAACAAAAAATCTTGACCTTTTAGATAGTTGAAATTCCAGAGTCACTCATCTGTACTGAATGGAAAAAAAAAAAGTAAGAGAAAAGCTGTGAATTCATGTGGAAAATCAGATGAAAGAACAACCATCTTTATCTTAATTGTATCCACTGCACATCAGATCATGATATCAGCCAATTTTCTTTTTACGTTTTTAGGAGAAATGTTTAATTGCGGTAGTCGAATCCGATCTGAATACGATATTGAAATATTGGCATTGTCTATTTTTGCCGACAATCGAGTGCTTGAGGCGATGAATTATTAATTATTTGAAAGCTCAATAGTGGAGATAGAAACGTATTACTTCGGCGCAAATACAACACAAAACGAGCGGGCCGAGTGGGGAATGGTGCTTGTAACATCTCTCTACCTATCTTTTTTTTTTTCTAACGTCTGTTTACTTCGCGAGAAACCTCAAAATGTCAAGTGGTTTTAAGTAGTGTGCATTTGCCTTGAACAGTGATTTCGCAGGGTCAATGAGATTGTTTCGGTATTGCAACACCTGTTGCGATAAGTGTCGTAAAGCTAACCAAGGTAGCCACAACAGCCAGTAATCAAAGAGGGCAGGGAGACTACATGCAGCGCGTGAAAATGCGATTGACAAAATCGCAATATTGCTTTTTGTTTCACATCTGTTTGGTCGACTGGATGGCGCGGTTCTTTTTTTCTTCCTTTTTTTGTGTGTACTATTTACGAAGAAAAAAATGCATGAAGCAATTTTCAATTAAATGCTGGTTCGCTTTACTTTGCTCTGTGATTGGTCCGGAAATCTTGAGTCTCTCTCTCTCTCTCTCAACCAATCAGATGCAAAACTAGCACCAATCACGACTTGGTCACCCGTGTTTTCCCGCGTCTTAGGCGGCTTGCTCGGTTTCCTCCACGAGATGAAGCGACAAGAAGTATTACTACTCCCCATTGGATGGGATGCCAGTCCATCCTAAGGCTACCCCCCAGCATTACATCAGGGTTCCCTGACAATTCCGGTACCCATTCCAATGTCTCGCCCAAGAACACAACACAATGTCATGGCCAGGCCTCGAACCTGGGCCCCAGCGCAATGACCGAAAGGACACCGCGACTTGAATAGGTTCCTTCAGTCATACGACCACTGGCGTTGATCCTAACCAGAAAGATGAGTTACAGCACAAAAATTCTCCAACGCTTTTTGGTCGTCTAATTTTACAAAGAGGCTACTTAATAAAGTCAGATGACTAACAACTGAGTCACTTGTCCGCATTGTTGGATCTCGTCATTGATCCACCGAAATGTCACCGATTCTCTGATCTGCGCCCTAACGGTGTGATCTTGGAACTGGGTTGAGAGAATTTTTAAGGAAACATCGCCGGGTAAATAAGTGTTGATGTTCTATCAAGAGAAGATCTCGGTAGTTTGGACATCACTCCAAGTTTAGAATTCATCCTCATCTTCCATGTTTCTGAGTGGTATCAACTCGAACATAAAAAGCCTGACATGTGATTGATTTGATACACATTTAAAAACATTTACGACGTTTCTCGTTTGCTGATAGAAACAGTTTTAGTATCATAGAACGCTAGTAACGAGCTCCTAACAGCCCTTGCTTGAAAAAATTTCTGCGAGATTCAGTTAAGAGTAAAACATTCTTTCTACTCGTACTCAATACAAATCTCTTTCGAAATTCCAATGCAGAACTGCAAAACCTTGCGCGTAATGCACAAGTGACGTGAAAAACGTCTATTGTCCTACGGCAAAAACCTTTCCTGGTAACCTTCACTCCTTAGATCACGCGTTCCGCAACAAACGGCAACCTTTAGGTCACGCGTCACGCAACATAAATCGTGTCAAGTCTTTCTGATCCTCACTGTTGTTCCCCCAACAAGGTGATGGTTGGGCACTGGAACGACCTCCGGGGCAGCGAGGAGTTCTTCATCAGCTGGAAAGTGGAATTCGTTTCTGTTTGCGTCGTAGCGATCGGCACCACTTGCCTCGTGGTGATAATATCCCGATCCACCGGGCAATCTCACTTCCGGGAGAGCGGCGTGCCGTAACAAAGCTCCCGCCCGCCCGCGGCCAGGCAAGGATGCAGATTCCCTCAAAAGCGCATTAGCACGTTGGAGTAAGAGACTTGGTGGCTGAGCAGAATTAGATTGTAGTCCAGGCCCAAGAGCATGGGCTGTCTCTCTTACGGTTTCTTCCATTCTTCTATCGGCTTGCAAATCTAGACGATTTTGTTCCTTTTGTCGAGGAAAGGTCCCAGGTCCCTCGGATTCACGACTGCTCAGTGATGGAAAGTCTTTTTCTATGAATATTTCCTGGGGGCGGGCTGTAATTGAAACAGAAGACGACTTGACAGCAGGAGCAGCAGCGCCTTGATTCTGTAATGCTGCTTCCATGCTGCTTCCATTGCTTTCTGAAGTGACGTTACTTGCGTCAGAATCACTCCCGCTTTCGCGCCATTTCTCTTTCAGTCTGTTCAAGGGAACGGAGATAGAGTTGACAGTTTCCTTCACACGCCCCTTTTTATTCTCATACGCATGCGTGAACTGATCACCTTCGCACCAGGCCTCCCGACTGGCCAGCACGTCCTCTGGTACGACTCCTTTTGCATCTTCATGGAAGTCACCATCATATCGTCTCGACCGATGTCTGTAGTTGAAATGGTTCAGTTCTTTGAACTTTGCAGGGAGCAGCTGACCTTTCACCTGGAAAGAGCGTGGTCAATAAAGAGCGCGAGAATAAATAATGTTTGAACGTCTTTCAATTCCCTAAGCTAAACTTGTGATACTGATCTCCTCTATTATGAAGCTACTAGGGATACCTCTTCAACACAAATCGCGCCCTGGTCCTAACTAACTGGTGGACACGACCGAACATAACTAACGACATATGCGCAATTGGCATCATAGCTGCCAGGTTTGATTTTGGGGCGAACTGTCGGAGGTGGAGGCGAACCTGCCTTACTTCAGCGGAGGGATTTCGCAATGG